AGCGGAGGGCAGCGTCGAAGACAGTGTCATGAAAAAGGAGGAGAGCGCGAGAGAGGGGCAGAAGGGAGAGGTCAGAGAGAGTAGCACTGAGGGAAAATAGGGTCCAGTCCGCCTTAGCAAACTGCCACCTAGGGAAAGAGAGGGAAGGGCGAAAAGAGAAAAAGGAAACAAGGATGGGAAATGATCACTTCCATGGAGGTCATCAAGAACCTGCCACGTGAAATCTAAGTAAAGAGAAGAAGAGCAGAGAGAAAGATCAAGACAAGAAAGGGTGCGAGTTCGAGAGTCCAAATGAGTGGGCTCACCAGAATTCAGAAGAGACAGGGAAGAAGAGAGGAGAAACGGCTCAAGGAGGCGACCCCGGGTATTCGTCAGAACGTCACCCCAAAGAGAATGACGACAATTGAAGTCACCCAGCAGGAGCACAGGCTCCGGCAAGGAGTCTAGGAGGTGTTTCAAATCAGGAAGAGAGAGCGGGACACTCGGGGGGGAGATAAATGGAACAAACTGTGTACCATTTCCCCACAAAGATACGAGCAGCAGAACAATGGAGAGGCGAAGGAAAAAGTAAAGTAACAAAGGGAACATCAGCCCGAATCAAGAGAGCAGAAGAATTAGAAGCCCCAGCAATGGCTGGGGGGGGGGAGAGAAAGGAATAGCCACGAAAACGACCAGGACGAGCACCAAGCATTGGCTCCTGGAGACAGACACAAAGGGGCGAAAACCGCGAAACCAGAAGTTGGAGTTCGAGGAAATTGGCGTAATAACCTCGAACGTTCCATTGAAGAATGGACAACGACTTGAAGAGAAAGGACAAAAACAGAGAACAAGGAAGAAACAAAGGCGAAAGACCAACAGAGCACGTTAAAGAATATCAGGGTCGGGATCAGGGTCAGCAAAGTCAGGGTTAGGGGGCATGGGTAAACTGAGCAAAGACGGAGGGAAGGAAACGGGAGAACAGATCAGAGGTGGGCGGGCAGGGTCCGGAGGAGGAGGAGGAGGAGGAGGAGGAGGAGGAGGAGGAGGAGACAACGGAGAGGAGCAGTCAAGGACAGCAGCAGGAAGAGGGGGAGTAGAAAGAGGGGAGCGCACCCCAGCAAGAGCAGCAACCGAAAGGGAAGCAGAGGCCAAAGAAACCTCCATAGCAGGAACAGGGGGCGCAAGCACTGAAACGGGAGGGGAAGGAGCAACAGAGCCAGAAGGAGGAGCTGAGGAAGAAAGCGAAGCCTTCTTACCCGCCGGGGAAGAGGAAGGAGAGGAGCCAGGCTTACGCTTCTGACTTAAAGAGACCGGTGTCCCAGCAACCACGTACCGGGCAACGGATTCCAGTGTCTCAACAGGAGAAGCCGAACGAGAGCACACACGACGGCCGTTAGGAGAGCGATGGACATCCGCCCGCACCGACAGGCGGTGGGGAGAGCCGATAGATGGAGGAAGAGGATGGGAAGGAGGATCGGAGGGGGACGAGGAAGAAGACACAGAAGACACGACAGACCGGGTAGAAGGAAGGGGAACCCCAGACAGAGGACCAGGAGGAGGATCCTTCGGGAGAGAACCCAAAGGAACAGAGGAGGGGGCAGTGGGCGCATCAGGGTCCAAGGCCCGGAAACGGTTGTGAGTCTGAGGAAGGCGGGAAGGACGAGGAGAGGAAGAGCGCAACACGCGAGCATAAGAGATATTAGCATAAGGCGGGAGCCGGCGAACCTGGCGCCTCGCCTCAGGAAAAGATAAACGCTCCCGGTGCTTCAAGTTGAGGACGGCTGCCTCAAGCTTGTAATGGACACACGCACGGGAGAAGGTAGGATGGGCCTCACCGCAGTTGAGGCAACGAGCCTGGGGAGAAGCGCACTCCGACTTAGAGTGACCTTCGCCACCACACAAAGGACAGAGAGAGACAGTCCCGGAGCAGCGGAGGGCACCATGCCCAAACCTCCAGCACTTGTTGCAGAGCCGAGGAGAAGGAATGTACTCCTGGACAGAGCACCTGGCACCAGCAAGAATGACAGAGGGCGGAAGGGTCCTACCATCAAAGGTGATCTTCACAACGCGAAGGGGTTGACGGCGACGACCACGAGAGGGACGAGTAAACGAGTCAACCTGGAGGACAGAACGGCCCTGGGCATCAAGGATATGCCGACATTATATATATATATATATATATATATATATATATGTCGTACCTAGTAGCCAGAACGCACTTCTCGGCCTACTATGCAAGGCCCGATTTGCCTAATAAGCCAAGTTTTCCTGAATTAATATATTTTCATTAATTTTTTTCTTATGAAATGATAATGCTACCCATTTCATTATGTATGAGGTCAAATTTTTTTTATGGGAGTTAAAATGAACGTAGATATATGACCGAACCTAACCTAACCTATCTTTATAGGTTAGGTTGGGGTAGGTAGCCGAAAAAGTTAGGTTAGGTTAGGTTAGGTAGTCGAAAAACAATTAATTCATGAAAACTTGGCTTATTAGGCAAATCGGGCCTTGCATAGTAGGCTGAGAAGTGCGTTCTGGCTACTAGGTACGACATATATATATATATGTCGTATATATTCATATATATATATATATATTGTATATATTCATTCTACTTTGCTCTGATGAAGGCGAATTAGCCGAAAACGCATTAAGCATTTTCTATTTTTCATATGTGGTTATTCTGCATACTTGGATCAGTGTTTTTGTGATCATTGTTGCATATATATATATATATATATATATATATATATATATATATATATATATATATATATATATATATATATATATCCCTGTATATATATATATATATATATATCTTGTGAAACATTTATTTTAAAAAATATAAAACAGAAATGTAAGGTTGTATTTCCTGTCATTTTCTCATTTTAGTAATATATTTCACCCTGATAACCCTCTCCACCCTCCCCCTCCCCCCCTCTCAGTTAGTTCCAGCTCATTACACATGAAAGTGAAGGGAAAAAATATAATAAAGTGTAGAGCTCGACACGTCCTCTCTCTTCTTTGGTACTTATATGGGCATGTGTATGGGTACCCACTCCACACACCCCCTCCCTCTGTACCCACTCCATACACCCCCTCCCTCTGTACCCACTCCACACACCCCCTCCCTCTGTACCCACTCCACACCCCCCCTCCCTTTGTACCCACTCCATACACCCCCTCCCTCTGTACCCACTCCACACACCCCCTCCCTCTGTACCCACTCCATACACCCCCTCCCTCTGTACCCACTCCACACACCCCCTCCCTCTGTACCCACTCCACACACCCCCTCCCTCCGTCCCCACTCCACACACCCCCTCCCTCTGTACCCACTCCACACACCCCCTCCCTCTGTACCCACTCCATACACCCCCTCCCTTTGTACCCACTCCATACACCCCCTCCCTTTGTACCCACTCCATACACCCCCTCCCTCTGTACCCACTCCACACACCCCCTCCCTCTGTACCCACTCCACACACCCCCTCCCTCTGTACCCACTCCACACACCCCCTCCCTCTGTACCCACTCCACACACCCCCTCCCTCTGTACCCACTCCACACTACCCCTCCCGCTGGACCCACTCCATACACCCCCTCCCTCTGTACCCACTCCACACACCCCCTCCCTTTGTACCCACTCCCTCTGTACCCACTCCACACACCCCCTCCCTTTGTACCCACTCCCTCTGTACCCACTCCATACACCCCCTCCCTTTGTACCCACTCCATACACCCCCTCCCTCTGTACCCACTCCACACACCCCCTCCCTTTGTACCCACTCCACACACCCCCTCCCTCTGTACCCACTCCACACACCCCCTCCCTCTGTACCCACTCCACACACCCCCTCCCTCTGTACCCACTCCACACACCCCCTCCCTCTGTACCCACTCCACACACCCCCTCCCTCTGTACCCACTCCACACACCCCTCCCTCTGTACCCACTCCACACACCCCCTCCCTCTGTACCCACTCCACACACCCCCTCCCTCTGTACCCACTCCACACACCCCCTCCCTTTGTACCCACTCCATACACCCCCTCCCTTTGTACCCACTCCACACACCCCCTCCCTCTGTACCCACTCCACACACCCCCTCCCTCTGTACCCACTCCATACACCCCCTCCCTCTGTACCCACTCCACACACCCCCTCCCTCTGTACCCACTCCACACACCCCCTCCCTCTGTACCCACTCCACACACCCCCTCCCTCTGTACCCACTTCATACACCCCCTCCCTTTGTACCCACTCCATACACCCCGTCCCTTTGTACCCACTCCACACACCCCCTCCCTCTGTACCCACTTCATACACCCCCTCCCTTTGTACCCACTCCATACACCCCCTCCCTTTGTACCCACTCCACACACCCCCTCCCTTTGTACCCGCTCCACACACCCCTCCCTCTGTACCCACTCCATACACCCCCTCCCTCTGTACCCGCTCCATACACACCCCCTCCCTTTGTACCCGCTCCACACACCCCCACCCTTTGTACCCGCTCCACACCCCCCCCTCCCTTTGTACCCGCTCCACACACCCCTTCCCTTTGTACCCGCTCCACACACCCCCTCCCTTTGTACCCGCTCCACACACCCCCTCCCTTTGTACCCGCTCCACACCCCCCCTCCCTTTGTACCCGCTCCACACACCCCCTCCCTTTGTACCCGCTCCACACACCCCATACCTTTGTACCCACTCCCCCAACCTGTCTTACAGGATCTTGGGTTGACTCACCATCTGGAGACAGACCTACGAGAGGTAAGGTATCTAGATAGTACCACTGAGAGCTACTTTTGGTCCATTGTCACGATGGGATTTTTTTGCCAATAACTTGACACCATAATCGGTCTTATTTACAGCTTCCTGTAATGATTGCTGTATTACTATGTATAGTTAAATGCATGCCTGTGCTGGGATACTCCCGGTAGTGGACGAGTCAGACGCTGGGATATCCCAGCAGCGGGTCATCCAGAGGAAATTCAATATGATAATCTTCTAAAGTATTATATACTTTTATTTAGAGATCTGTACATAAATATATCCTTATAAAAGTATGAATATAATTACATTTTTATATGGAAATAAATTAAGACACCAAGATCACGTTCAAACACAAGACTGAGTTGAACTAATTACTAATCAAATATGCAGCTTTTATTAAAGAAAAAAAATTCCAATCTGCATATTTAACGACATCGGTTTAAATACCTTACTTGGCACACCTTGTTTTATGAAGCTACTGCGCATCACTGCTCTTGCCAATACTCTACTTTGAATATTGTTATTTATATTATGAACGAGCAATATTATCATGGTAGTTATTAGAATATTTAGAAACCTTCCTTACCTTATCATATCCACCATTCTCCCACCACAGGCTGCTACTATAAATGACTTTCACATTATTTATTCAAACTTTATATTTTTTATGCCGTTCCTTCTGGAAGTCCAAATGTGCATGGAATCTTCTCCTGTTTTATTTAACTATGTCACTGGTATCTGATGCAGTACTTGTAACATCGTAAAATATATCTTGTCTGTGGTAGAACTGAGTGAGTAAAGCTGGCAAACTTCTTTAGTTATAAACCGATTAAAAAAATATGTCCAGCATTCACTGAAAGTGAAATAAGCAAGTGAAGAGTATACAGTATACCAGTATACAGTATACCGGGTATACAGTATACCGGGTATATGTATACCCGGTATACAGTATACCGGGAGGCAGCGATTAGCTATCAGCCAAAAGGAAGCAATGGGGGAGGGGTATACTCGCTCTACTTGTAATCCTTTTAATAAACAAATATAAACAGTGAAAATCACACACATCACAATGGGTTACACCCAACCCTTCACTGCACCGCCACCTGATACACACGTCCGTATACTTAGGGTCTTGTCAACGTGCCGGAAAGAAATTCATTCGTATTAATAGTCGGAAACTTTATTACGTTTTCACGTGACGGCTCCTGTTGCAGATTTTGTTGATGTTGGTGCATTCCGGGTAGTTGATGGAGATGCCTTGGAGTCAGGATTGGCATCGGGTGAAGATGATGGTGCTAATTTGGTACTCATCTGAGACTGTGGGAGGTGATGACGTAGCCCCAAAAGCACCTCTTCGGCTTCTCCTTGAAGTGTCTCCGCTCGTTCAATTAGCAACATCTGCAAGCCAAATTGTTAAGTCATTTCATAGCCCTATAAAGCGCACCAATATATTTTTATACAGTATTATGTACATTTCCATAATAAAGTGAAAACAAGGGATCCTAATGAAAATTTGATAAATAAAATGCAGTAAGGCATTTTATTTATCAACTTACTGCAAACAGTTGCTGCACAGGACATGAACTGTGGCGCTAGTGCATGTAGTTGAACTAGAACACACACATCAACAACTTCCTAAGAGGTTATCAGTAAACAATCTAGTTAGAAATTATATGAACTAACAATGATTTAGCAATTCCTAATTTGGGATCTTCAAATCCAAGCTGTCAGAGTGCTCGACAAGGCAGATGACAAGGAGAAAAGGAGTTAAGGGACTGACCACCAATCCTGTAAAGTGTACATAGCAAAGTCGGTATGACTTTATAGGACATAAAAGGGATACGAGGAAGAAGTGAAGGCACGGTGCCACATCGTCCACAGCTGTTCAACACCCTCCCAGCAAGTATTAGAAATATTGCTGGAACAGAGGTGGATGTATTCAAGAGGTACTTAAGACAAGTTCTTGCAAGAAGTGCCAGACCAACCAGGCTGTAGTGGAATGCATGGGGTCTGTGGGCTGCTCCAAGCAACAGCCTGTTGGACCAAGTTATCACAGTCGAGCTTGGCCCCAGGCCTAGCTTGGGGAGTAGAAGAGCTCCCAAAACCCTCTCCAGGTATGCCAGCCCACTTGGACTTTCAGGGAAAGAACACCAATCCTGTAAAGCGAGACTGACGCTGTGTCTAAATAGTTGAAGGACTTCCTTGAAAGAAGAACCGTTTTTCCTTGTGAACACAGGAATGAAATAATTAGAATTAAGAGGTTACTAGCCCTCTGTGCACGTTATCTTGAGGTTATCTTGAGTTGATTTCGGGGCTTTAGTGTCCCCGCGGCCCGGTCCTTGACCAGGCCTCCACCCCCAGGAAGCAGCCCGTGACAGCTGACTGACACCCAGGTACCTATTTACTGCTAGGTAACAGGGGCGTTCAGGATGAAAGAAACTTTGCCCATTTGTTTCTGCCTCGTGTGGGAATCGAACCCGCGCCACAGAATTACGAGTCCTGCGCGCTATCCACCAGGCTACGAGGCCCCCTAAGTTAGCCCAGATGCAGTTCTCACATTTGTTACCTAATGAATGTTGAAATATTTGACAGTCTATAAATGTTACCAATATCTTGACATATTCTCAAATAATAATACAGTACAATACTGTATATGAAGTAATAGGCCGGCAGGCTACACTGCTGTCCATTCTGGAAAATGTGCAAACAGCTGATATACTGTACATAACAAATTAAAAACTTTAGGGAAAACCAATGTTAAATGTAATGAAATGCCTCTTTCTGCATGAGCCCGTCGGGAGCCGGTCGGCCGAGCGGACAGCACACTGGACTTGTGATCCTGTGGTCCCGGGTTCGATCCCAGGTGGCGGCGAGAAACAAAGGGCAGAGTTTCTTTCACCCTATGCCCCTGTTACCTAGCAGTAAAATAGGTACTGGGTGTTAGTCAGCTGTCACGGGCTGCTTCTTGGGGGTGGAGGTCTGGTCGAGGACCGGGCCGCAGGGACACTTAAGCCCCGAAATCATCTCAAGATAACCAAGAAGCCCCAGTGGCGCCATGAAGCGATAGGTCACATCAGCTGTGGAGGTGTGTTTGGCCTGCCGGGGGACCAGAGCTAGAGCTTAACCCCCTCCCTCACAAAGTGGCTGGCACTCAGTCACTCCACTGGAAAAGAATCTTAAAAAGTTAACAAACCAACACAAACCTTTGCCGGGTTAAAAGACCAAAGCCTTACGACGGCCAAATGAACTCCCCCGACGTACGGTAAACAAATGATCAAATCTCTTGGAACCATCGCAAACTCAATAGCACTAACCCCTCCCAGTCAGTTGTGGGGTGGATCAGGGCAGAGCTACAGGCCGTCCAAACCAATTTTGGAGCAGATGGGAAGAAAGACCAACTAACAAACCTGGCAAGGAGGGAGGGAAGGAATCGTGGGGACATTTCATTACATTCAACGCTGGTTTTCTGGGGAAGCCCCTTGTGGTTCTCTGAACAAAGCTGCCTACAAGGAAGATGCATCAGGGATGAGCAGGAGACTTCAGGTACTGTAATAAAGATGAGCGAGACCGCTCGTTGAGACACTACGAGCCAAGGCCACACAAGCGTGACGAGGCTGGCCGAGAGAAGATCCAAGGCCACACAAGCGTGACGAGGCTGGCCGAGAGAAGACCCAAGGCCACACAAGCGTGACAAGGCTGGCCGAGACGACCCAAGGCAACACAAGCGTGACGAGGCTGGCCGAGAGACGACCCAAGGCAACAAGTATGACGAGGCTTGGGGGACGACAAATACTGGGGCCCCAAAGTTCCTGTTACACTGCCAAAATCCCATGCCAGAATATCAGCCCAGGACATGTTAGCGAAGAATGCTTCAAGAGGCGAGTACTACACCGTAGGTACCATCACAATGCACAATGTTACTGTACAACAGCACAAGGTCACTCTGGTAACATTACCACACAAGTTACATAACAATTTTTTAGTGCAATTGGCAAATGAATTATACACTGTCATATTGGCTCTGAACCTCTGCACTTTGTGGCACATCAATTAATTCATCATTTCTTAGATTTGGTCATGCCCTTACAGTTGAAACGTCATCTATTAAAGTCTACTCTTCTTGCCGCTTGTCACTCAACCCGTCACTCAAGCTTGTCACCCGTCACTCAAAACGTCATCTATTTAACTCAAGCTTGTCGTCATCTATTAAAGTCTACTCTTCTTCCCGCTCATCACTCAACCCGTCTTCTTGCTCAGTCAAATGCAACGTACTGGCAAAAATTAACGCAAACAATATTTTGGGAGTATTGGTCACGAAAGGCTTAGTGGGTTGATTGCCTTTGTACAGTTCAGTTGGGTAGAAATACAGCTTTTGCCCAAGTGGTAAATTGAACCAACTGCTTCCTACCAAAAGATTTGGTACTAGTGTTAAAAATTAAATTGTCTTACCTTAGCAGAATTGATAATCTGCACAGCTATGCGATGTGGCAAATGCTCGACACTGTTGACAAGATCGTGAGGTTCGGAGTTTGCAACATCTTGCAGCGTGTGATAACCTGCGTTGTACAACATTCGAGCACGACCCTGAAAAATAAGGAAGCAGCATATAAAAATGATTGGAACTAATTAACAAATTAACACATAACATCTGATTGTTATTATTTATAGATTGGTAGACAGTACTCCGACACTACAAGACCAAAGGTGATTATAAGTATCCTCCCTGTTTTAGTGTTATGTAGGTCATATACAACAAATGTTTGATACCTGGTTGATACCTGGTTGATGGGGTTCTGGGAGTTCTTCTACTCCCCAAGCCCGGCCCGAGGCCAGGCTCGACTTGTGAGAGTTTGGTCCACCAGGCTGTTGCTTGGAGCGGCCCGCAGGGCCACGTACCCACCACAGCCCGGCTGATCCGGAACTTCTCTTAGAAAACCGTCCAGTTTTCTCTTGAAGATGTCCACGGTTGTTCCGGCAATATTTCTTATGCTCGCTGGGAGGACGTTGAACAACCGCGGACCCCTGATGTTTATACAGTGCTCTCTGATTGTGCCTATGACACCTCTGCTCTTCACAGGTTCAATCTTGCATTTTCTTCCATATCGTTCACTCCAGTACGTTGTTATTTTACTGTGTAGATTTGGGACCTGACCCTCCAGTATTTTCCAGGTGTATATTATTTGGTATCTCTCTCGTCTCCTTTCTAGAGAGTACATTTGGAGAGCTTTGAGACGATCCCAATAATTTAGGTGTTTTATCTCGTCTATGCGTGCCGTATATGTTCTCTGTATTCCCTCTATTTCAGCAATCTCTCCTGCTCTGAAGGGGGAAGTGAGTACTGAGCAGTACTCGAGACGGGACAGCACAAGTGACTTGAAGAGTACAACCATTGTGATGGGATCCCTGGATTTGAAAGTTCTCGTAATCCATCCGATCATTTTTCTGGCTGACGCGATATTTGCTTGGTTATGCTCCCTAAACGTTAGATCGTCGGACATCATTATTCCCAAATCCTTGACATGCTGTTTTCCTACTATGGGAAGATTCGATTGTGTTTTGTACCCTGTATTATGTTTCAGATCCTCATTTTTGCCGTACCTGAGTACCTGAAATTTATCACTGTTAAACATCATGTTATTTTCTGCTGCCCAATCAAAAACTTTGTTGACATCTGCTTGTAGTTTTTCAATGTCTTCAGCAGAGGTAATTTTCATGCTGATTTTTGTGTCATCTGCAAAGGACGACACGAAGCTGTGGCGTGTATTTTTGTCTATATCAGATATGAGAATAAGGAACAGTAGCGGTGCAAGGACTGTACCTTGAGGTACAGAGCTTTTAACATCGCTTGGACTCGATTTTATCTGATTGACTGTTACTCTTTGTGTTCTGTTCGACAGGAAATTGAGTATCCAGCGTCCTACTTTTCCAGTTATTCCCATTGACCTCATTTTGTGAGCTATCACCCCATGGTCACATTTGTCGAACGCCTTTGCAAAGTCTGTGTATACAACATCTGCATTTTGCTTTTCTTCTAGGGCTTCTGTGATTTTGTCATAGTGGTTGAGTAACTGTGACAGACAGGATCTTCCCGCTCTAAATCCATGTTGTCCTGGATTGTGCAATTCATTGTTTTCCATAAAACTAGAAATTTGATTCCTAATCACTCTTTCAAACACTTTTATTATGTGTGATGTTAGTGCAACTGGCCTATAATTTTTTGCCAAGGCTTTACTCCCCCCCTTGTGCAACGGAGCTATATCTGCAGATTTAAGTGCTGCTGGTATCTCCCCTGTATCCAGGCTCTTTCTCCATATTACGCTGAGTATTTCTTTGATTTAGAGTCGGGAACGAACTCCGGCCTAAGGGCCGGAATTCGATCCCCGGTGGAGGCGGAAACAAATCCCTGATGCCCCTGTTCACCTAATAGTAAATAGGTACCTGGGAGTTAGACAGCTGCTGCTTCCTGGGGATGTGTGACAAAAAAGGAGGCCTGGTCAAGGACCGGGCCGCGGGGACCCTAAGCCCCGAAATCATCTCAAGATAACCTCAAGATAATGATGATAGTGTTGCACTTACAGGTGGGAATATCCCCATCTTACACCTTGACTTTCTCTTATCTGCTCCTCACCCCTTTCTTTATTGCCTGCGACTTCTTTTCTCCCATCCTTACTGGCTATTCATGCCTGTACCACCTCTTGGGTGGCTTAATCTTCATCAATCAATCAATCACTCATCACATTCAACTTGATAAGGGTTCAAGACGGACCAAAACCGTCGCTTCTTCACCTTCATTGGTCCTCAGGATGGAAAATTAGAAGTGGTCAGTGGACCGCAGAAATGGAATAAAGAATTTGGAGTGTTCCGCGGGAGGAGGAAGTGGCAAGATCAATCAACAAAAAGTAGTGGATTCTTTACAAGTCTTTTACCATGTCATGGCACAGTCGACTAAGGAGCGTCTTGGATCATCCCGAACGTAAGTTCGAATCCTCATCACAGGCCTTGTGGATTTGTTCATTAGTGGATTCTTGGGATGCAAATGAATAGAAAAACCCATCACAATGTCACGAAATGCCTCGTTCCGGTAGAACCCAGGGAGCTTCCCGACGCTATCTTGCCGAGATTGCTACATTCTAATTGATCACATTACTCGCAGGAGTTGTATTTGACATACTGGGGGGACCAGATGCAGAATCTGGCTCCCCTTACAGAGGTCCAGGGAGCAACGGACAATATTTAGTCTCTGTGGTGTAGTGGTAAGACACTCACCTGGCGTTCCGCGAGCGCTTTGTCATGGGCTCGTATACGTCATAAACATGTTAAGCCAAGATGTAACAACTATATTACAAGTTGTAACAAGCAGAAAATACAGTTTTTCGGTTTGTGTTTCCAGGGTATATACCCTATGCATGTACAATAAGATAATGTGTACAGTAAAAATAATGTACAATAAGGCAAAAAACCATGTACCAGCATATGGCTTAAATTCTTACCTGTTTCACAGCTGGCAGGTCCAACAACGGCAGTAGTTCAGCCGAGCAGCAGCCAGAGATCTGACGAGCAAAGTTAGCCAAGAGGTCTCGAAAAGCCCACAGTTCTTCAAGTTCCTGAAAGCACAACATTCAACAAGTTCAAAATACAACAATATAAACAGTAATACCCCCAAAAAATTCATAATTACTCAAATATTTTCTTCGAATTCATCCAATTTTATACAGTAAAAAAAATTAATAATATGGTATACAAATATAGACAGATTATAATAAATGGGCAGAGCTGAAGAACGGGTGACGGCAATGCTTCCTCATATCACAGTTGCGGGAGACAAAACTGACAAACGTAACAAAAACTGATTCCAACCAGTGGGTTATTGACCACCATTGGGAGCATACCCAAGGCCACATTCACGAAGCAGTTACGCAAGCATTTACGAACCTGTACATCTTTTCTCAATCTTTGGTGGCTTTGTTTACAATTATTAAACAGCTGATGAGCTTCGAAGCACCAGGAGGCTGTTTATAACAATAACAACAATTAATTGGCAAGTTTTCATGCTTGTAAACTGTTAATTAAATGTAACCAAAGCCATCAAAGACTGAGGAAAGATGTACACATTTGTAAGTACTTGCGAAACGGCTTCGTGAATCTGGCCCCTGGAGAGGGTACGGGGAGCTCTTCTACTCCCCTAGCCTGACTCTTGATAACTTGGTCCAACAGGCTGTTGCTTGGAGAGACCTGCGGGCCCACCGAGGTGGGAGGGACATTCCCAAAAAGGTTGGAAACCACCATAATAGAGGATGTGATATTCCTGAGAGAACGGTGGAGAGGAAGGAGTATCTATATTGATGCAATATACAGATTTCAGAGATACTTTGTATCAAGTCCTGCTGGTTGGGTATCTCCACTTTAGCATTAATTAATCTGCTTCAGTCAACCCAACACTATCATCATCCACCTCCACCTTTTCTATCTTAATAACTTGAAGATTATAGTTGATGGAGCATTGATAACAAGCAGATCAGAACATATTGGCACGTACAAACAAAACACTGTTGGATTTCTGCAACAAAATTGTCAATTATTTCCCCCCTCCTAACTTTTCAGGATAATTAACTACTTATCCAAACACAACATGTTATCCCTTCAGTCTCAGTCCCAAGGGGTTCGGATAGCACGTAGCTGACTATTTGCTATTTGGGTTCAAAGTTGAACCGCAAAACTGCATTGGCAATTTGCAGGTTACCGGGCCATATAACAGGAGTGAGATGGTCTTATTGTTTCAAGTGTAGGTTAAACATACTGTGTGAAAGAATTTGGGTGGATTTAAACCGGAGCCGCCTCGCGTGGTCCTGCCGGCAGTCGCCTTGCGCTGTGAGGCCTACGGCTGCCTCGCGCGGTCCAGCCGGCAGCCGCCTTGCGCTGTGAGGCCTACGGCTGCCTCGCGCGGTCCAGCCGGCAGCCGCCTTGCGCTGTGAGGCCTACGGCTGCCTCGCGCGGTCCAGCCGGCAGCCGCCTTGCGCTGTGAGGCCTACGGCTGCCTCGCGCGGTCCAGCCGGCAGCCACCTTGCACGGCCCAAGAGGTTTTCTGCAGTTTCCCTTATTATTTAGCTCTTGCCAGTTGTAATAGCAGGCAATAGATAGCCCAGAATACTGCTGTCATATCTTTCTTAAATGCTGGATTAGCTGTCATGTTGAATGCAATAATCCACTGCCCTATTCCTGAATGGAGGCCGAAATATATATAAATGGTCCCGTGACAAGTTACATTCACGAGTGAAAATTATCTCCAAGTATAATGAGAAAATAATGTGTCTATTACACACAGAAATCACAATTGTGTGATGCATCAAATGAACAAGTCCACAAGGGCCGTGTTGAGGATTCGAACCTGCGTCCGAGAGCATCGGTTAAGGCAGCGTCTGGGATGCTCTCGGACGCAGGTTCGAATCCTCATCACGGCCCTTGTGGATTTGTTCATTTAATGAGTGTATTCTTTAACAAGAGTCTCTAGTGGCGTTTCTACTTAATCAGAAATTATATTATACAGTACATTATAGTATACCTTACCTTGCGGTTATCTTGCAATGATTTCGGGTATTGCCAGCGTTTCCGCGGCCCGGTTCTCGACTAGGCCTACTCGTTGCTGGACTGGTCAACCGGGCCGGTGGACGTACCTGCTCGCAGCCTAAACATATAAATCACAGCCTGGTTGATCAGGCACCCGTCATTCATTCTCTCTTACCAGCTTCAGGATATTTCTCTAGCTATTTTTGAGTGTAAATGTAAAAGTTGAACAAAATACATGCATACCTGACAAAAATGGAAAACGCAGGAAGCAAATGCTGCAGACGACGACAATGCATTCTGCGTAAATCCTCTATGAACACGAAACAGGTCACTAGCTTGCCATATTCCCATCCCCGACCAAATGCGGTGCAGCAGCAATGCCACATAAAATCGGTGCAACACATTCTGGTCAACTTTCTGAAAAATCAATACAGTACACATTCAGTTTCATGCAAATCACATAAATAAGTTGGCATACCGTACCTTACTTAGCGATGAGTTCGTGGGCTTAGCGTCCGCGTGGCCCGGTCCTCAACCAGGCCTCCTGGTCGAGGCATAAGTACAGTACTGGAATTATGTGATGAAATTGTGGCCTATGACTGGAATCTTTATATTAGTAACTACTGTAGTACTGAAATATTCTCTCACGATGCATTCTGGTGATGTTATTGTGCATGCAAGGTTTTTTAAACTCCACTAAATGTAGATAACAATATACACAAAGCATTAAATTATGGTGACCAGACCACACACTAGAAATTGAAGGGACGACGACGTTTCGGTCCGTCCTGGACCATTCTCAAGTCGATTGTGATGAGGAGGTAGGGACAGGCAATAAATAGGCAAGAGAGAGCTGAGGAGGAAAGTCAGGTGTAGGGGATAGTAGGTCAACATACTTCAGCCACGTTATTGTGACTCATCGCCTGCATTAAATTATGGGCTGCTACACATTATCACTTTTCAGGAATTTAATTGTTGAAAAGAGATTCTTAACCTTTAAACTGAAATTCCCTTAAAAGACCGAGTACATGTCATAATATCTTGTGTGTTTCCTGATTTACCCGAGGGCCACTACCACTAGTGGCCTCAATGAGGACAGGAAGCCGGTGGCTTGACGAAGGTCCCTCCTTTGCCTATGATCTTTCCTAGGTAGCTTATAAAACCGAACACAGTTTTGGCCCTTACGGCTTCGGCGGGTAGGCGGCTCCATGGGTTTCTAAGCTTCATTAGGTGTGGGTTTATCACACGCCAAGGCCAGCATTTGGAAAGCCATCAATGTGTTTGCAAGTTAGACTTAGTGCTATAGTATTATTGTTGAAATCCATTCCCTGATCATGGGGGATAAAAAATAACCTACCTCGGCCATGGTGAAGCATGGAACTCTCCTTATGATGTCACAATTCACAAGCGTTCATGAAACAATAGCCCCGTGCAACCCGTCTAGACTAAGTCCATTCCATCCAGCGGTTGACCCCAAAGATGCATTCATCAATGTTAACATGCTGTTCATTCAAAACATAATCTTCACAAATATAAATCAATATTATATTTTATCATATTGTGCATATTTCGGCAGTGGGTATGTTAGGTGTTTATGTTCTGTTGGTAACTTTGTATTTGCAGTACGTGGGTGATGCAGTTACAGCATTGTGGTTCGAACACAGGTCGTCAGCGAAGCACTTGTTCCGGAAGTGTTCGGACGTCATCAGTTATGAGTCGTGTGTAAACCTTTTTCATTCGTAAACAGCTGGAGTTTGGCGGGTGGATGACATGGTCTCTGGGTCTTTGTTTATGAGGACCGGCTGCCCTGTGGTGTTTACTCCGGCCTCAGTGGGGGGAAGGGGTCGTTACCATGAAGATATTTTTTGGTGTTTCGATAGCTCAGATTTTTTTAATTTATTTAATAAAATGTATGTAACATCAGAATGGTCAAATATATTCCTGTCATTAATATGCACCTAATATTATGTTCGTAGAACAATAAAACATTCTATTTTTTGCTCTTATTACATGTACATGTTATATATAACTACTGTATCTACATTTTCATGCACCATTATGAACCAAGAAGCCGTTCTGGCGAGGTTATCTTGAGGTGATTTCAGGGCTTAGCGTCCCTGCGGCCCGATCCTCGACCAGGCCTCCTTTTTGTTACACATCCCCAGGAAGCAGCAGCCTGTAGCAGCTGTCTAACTCCCAGGTATACCTATTCCCTGTTAGGTGAACAGGGGGCCATCAGGCTGAAAGAAACTGTCCCATTTGTTTCCGCCGGGGATCGAACACGGAACCTCAGGACAACGAAACCCAAGCGCTGTCCACTCAGCCGTCAGGACCCCTAGTAGTAGTGCTGGACCAACCAGGATGGGGTGGATATGTGGGCCTGCGAGCTGCTCCAAGCTCTCAAGTCACGAGTACCTGGACTGTACCTGGATAGGGTTCTGGGAGTGCACCAGATAATGCTCATTTTATTTTATGTCCATTTCAAGGGTTAAAGCCAAGATTCACAAAACCACATGGAAACTATCCACCATTGGTCAGAAAATGGTGGTCACTTTCTGACCAATGAAAACAGCTCATGTCTTCACGTAAGAAAAATATACGTATAAACCTGTCTGACATTAGTTTCACGGCAACTGGAACTCTACTGGATGCGAAGGTGTGTTTTCATCTGTATACATTACAAACCACAACTCCTAAAATAATCTAAAAATGGCGAAGAGCGATGACCAAGCCTTACCTTACTCTTGTGGCCCATGGAAAGTTTGACGATTACGCCGTCGGTGATGCCCAGCAGTTTGGCTACTTTCATTTCCTCCTCTCCAAGTGACATGTACTGTCCAGGGGAGGAAAACGATAAAAATATTTTAACGTTCTTATATAATTACGCAACAATTTTTTGATCGATTTCATCGATGGTGCTCAGGTTGAAAACTTGGTCCTCAGCAGGGAAGCAACGTGTTGACATCCCTTTAGGGCGTGCAAGCTTCATCATTGCGATGATATGGTAGGTTAATGGGAATTCAACATGCAATAAGAACCAACGGAAAATGCATATGGAAAATAGCTTTGAAAAGATACACGAACCTCACGAGAATAGAATAAATGTAATTTAGTGATGTTCTACACGAACAAAAACAAATCTATTGATTCTTTTTGCTTTGCCGAATGATTAATGTGATGATAAATGTCGGGGCATTATAACTCCTGTGGTACTTATCCACACAAGTTTTGCAATGCCCCATTTTGCTCTAGGTACCCGCTTAGACTCTCTGATGAACTGAAGTCAGAGCGCTCTGTAAGATACCACCAACAGTGTCACATTCAGCATTCTGGCAAGTGCATTTCTCCATTAACAGTAAGTGTAATTACCTAAGTGTAGTCACAGGATGAGAGCTACGCTCGTGGTGTCCCATCTTCCCAGCACTCTTTGTCATATAATGCTTTAGTTATATGTTATATAGTTATATAAAGTGGTTAAAGGGAGGTGTGTGCATCCTCCCTACAATTGAAATCAAAGACTGATTTAACAAATTCAAGTTTTGCCAGGATAGAAAGCTTGAACGAAGTCAAAATGCCGTTCAAACACTTTTTTTTTTAGGGAATGAAGAACGTACGGAAAGGTGATGGTTAAGCTTTCCAGTATGATCTGGATCCAGATTCACGAAGCAGTTACGCAAGCACTTACGAACCTGTACAACTTTTCTCAATCTTTGGAGGCTTTGTTTCCAATTATTAAACAGTTAATGAGCTCCGAAGCATCAGGAGGCTGTTTATAACAATAACAACAGTTAAATGGCAAGTTTTCATGCTTGTAAACTGTTTAATAAATGTAACCAAAGACGTCAAAGATTGACGAAAGATGTACACGTTCGCAAGTGCTTGCGTAACTACTTCGTGAATCTGGCCCCAGGATCTAATACTAATAATCTCTCATAATAAATTACATCCAAGCTCACACATTAAGTTTAATCATAAATGTATTGTACGTTGACTGATTTATCATTTATAAGTAGTGTTCACAACATACACAGTGGGTGAAAAATAACTACGTCTAAGCACAATGTTAGGAACAGAGGATACACTCTTACAGCATTGTAGAAGACGTCAGGTAGGATACTGACGGAGCTGACGACCTCGTATGGTATGACGAGGTACAGGAGATGCAGGTGGCTGTTGAGTGCCAGATTCTCCCGGGCCAGGCAAAGGTCCTTGTACAGCCGACTTGCCAAGCTTAGGTCGATGCTGCCTGAACAAAATTACACACATTAAGCAAATTAGGGAACAGTTACAGTTGCAGACGACGAGTTGCAATAATGTGGCTCAAGATGTGACGACTTTGCAGGCGATGAGTCACAATAACGTGGCTAAAGTATGTTGACCAGATCACACACTAGAAGGTGAAGGGACGACGACGTTTCGGTCCGTCCTGGACCAGTCTCAAGTCGATTGTGAGAATGACTGAGAATGACACAATCGACTTGAGAATGGTCCAGGACGGACCGAAACAACGTCGTCCCTTCACCTTCTAGAGTGTGGTCTGGTCAACATATGACGACTAAACCCCACACACTGGAAGACGAGACGTTAATAGTCCAGGACGAAGATAAAGTCGATTGGGGTCGACTTTAATGGTCGATACCATTCAAGTTCATCTTAAGTTTAGATTTAGACAAGAGCTTGGAAAATACTGGTTTGCAAACAGGGCTGTTAATTTATGGGACAACTTACCGGGTAACACAATAGGCACAGGATCTCTCCAGTCTTTCAAGCAAAGATTAGACATATAATGTACCGTACATAAGTGTGTGGATATAAATAGGAGCTGCCATGTAAGGAGCCAATACCCCTTCCTGCAGTTTGCCTAATCCTTCTCGTGTTCTTATTTGCATTCGTGCATTTCAGTAAATGCAACATGAGAAGGGAAAGTATGAATATTTAATTATTAAAAGTTAATGCTAGACCAGGGCTACGTAGATTGATAGGGAAGCAACACAACCCGTCCTCTTAAAAATAACGTCACTTTTCGCTTGTATGCGCACTATGGCCAAATTTGGACGTAATCTGAAATGAAATCGACTCACAAAAGTGACGTACTGTTCCGTTTTCTGTTTGAGTCGTCCGGTTTACTCGGCAAGCTTAGAAGAGGAAACTTTCCATTAATGTTTTTCATACTGTTTCGAAACTTTATGAGAATTTCCTGCCCACCTAACCTATCAGAGGACCCTTAACTTACTGTTGTTGAAAAAAAAAATCCCAAATTTATATTCATTTTTTTCATTTTCAAATTACGTCCATATTCGGCCATACAGGCAAACGGCCAAAAGCAACGTTCTTTTTAAGAGGACAGGTTGGGCAACGACTGTGCTCAAAGAAAAAAACAGCTTTACTGTAATGAAATACCAATTTCTGGGCGAGCCCCAGCAGCTCCTGGACGCTATCTTCCTCTACTAACTAATGAACAGATCCACAAGGGCCGCGACGAGGATTCGAACCTATGTCCGAGATCATCCCAGACGCTGCCTTTATCGACCGAGCTGCGACATGGTCAGGAGTATATCCTCTACTAACTAGTTACTAGTTAGGCCTCTAACTACTAGATCATGTTGGTCGTGGAGTTCATTTTAGCCTACCGGGGACCAGAGCCAGAATCTGGCCCTCTCACAGAGGCAGAGGGAGCAGGAGACATGCCGCCTCACTGGGAAAGGCACCCAGAAGGTCAGTGAACCAATACAGACCACTGCTGGAGTCAAAGACCAAGGCCTCATAACCGGCCAAATGAACTCGCCCAACAATGTAAAACTATTAAATATTAAATTAAATTAAATATTAAATACAATGTAAAAACTATTAAAACTATTAAATAAATTAACTCGCCCAACAATGTAAAACTATAAAAAATCTCTTGAAATAATCATGCACTCGTTATCTTGAGATGATTTCTGGGTTTAGTGTCCCCGCGGCCCAGTCCTCGTCCAGGCCTCCTTTTTTGGTTACACATCCCCAGGCAGCAGCCTGCAGCAGCTGTCTAACTCCCAGGTACCTATTTACTGCTAGGTGAACAGGGCCATCAGGCTGAAAGAAACTGTCCATTTGTTTCCGCGTCCGCCGGGGATCGATCCCCGGTCCACCAGGCTACGAATCTGAAGCGCTGGCCACTACACACTCGCTCTGTTTGCTCTACTACCCCTCCCACTCATCTCTTGAGGAAGGGGTTGGGGCCAGCCCTCAGTTCCGGAGCATATGCACACATTACACCTCTTGCCAACAACCTGGAACGAAGCGGGAAATCGGAAGCCACCAGAGATTATCCAGAAATTGGAGTTTCATTACATTCAATGCTGGTTTTCTGGGAGAGACCCTTGTGGCTCCCGGAAGCTAACTGTCCATTGAGAAGAAAACTACAGGGACTCGCCAGGGAAGGACTCGGGCAGTCTTCACAAAGGCAAGACACCAGGCCGAGACACACGGGCCCAATGAACACAAGGGGCAGCGTGGCACGGGAACATTAACCATGTATCAGGCCGCCAGAACCCCCCCCCCACACGGGAGTATGAACTTGGCACATATTGGCAAAAACAGCCACAAGAGGGAAGTACTTACAAACATCATGGACATGAGGGTAGTCGCAGGGTGGCTAAACTTGATGACACCATGGACAACCTGAGAAACAGGAGCCTTACAACAGGAAACCCAGGAAATGGAATCGACCCACAAAGCATCCACCGAGACAGAATCGGTGGTACAGAGGTAGCTGCTACTGGACCCGGCATGCTCCACCAGCCTAACCAACGGACCACTCCGGAAGTCAGCCGACTCATTCTTCGCCAGAAAAGGAACTGGATTTTTTGTATTTGTTTAGAATAATTTGTTTACAGCATTGGAAGAGTTCATTCAACAGGTCATGATGCTTCGGTCTTTTGTATCGGTTCACCAGCTTTCTGGATACCTTTCCTGGGTCACCTGCTTCCAGCACCTCTGTGAGGTGGGACCAGGCTCTAGCTCTGGTCCCCGGTGGGTTGACCTGACCTCCACGGCTAATGTGATCCAGTAGTTAGGGGTCATTTCAATGAGAAAGCTTCAGGGATCCACAGGAAAGACCTTAGGGACAACTTTTGTAATGAGTTAGCCATCTTTAGAGAGCAAATGAATGTGATAATTTCTGAAAATGCATTGATAAATATATGACACCTGTCTAGAGGTAATTAACCCTTCTCTAACATATGTAGATCTAATACAGGCATACCTCAGAATGCGAGTTTAATCCGTTCCTGGAGACGCCTCGCCTTCCGAAAACTCGCATTCCGAAGTTAATTTCCCCACAAGAAATAAAAGGAAATGAATTAATCCGTTCCTGACTACCCCAAAAACCCCACATCAAACTAAATTTTTATACCTAATTTACCTAATTCATCTAAATAAACCTACAAAACTATGTTCCAGTTATTACTTACCTTACTGTCGAGTGCTGTAGGCGTATGGAAGATGGTGAGGAGGGGGGAGGAGGAGAGGAGTTACTGTTTGGAAGGGGAGTCCCCTTCCATAATCACATCAGGCAGTGAGGACCTTTCTGGTGTGCTCTCCCTGGGACGTTTAACCTGAGTGCCACTAGGCACTCTGCCACTAGGCACTTGAGGCTCACTGCTCGATTTCCTCACCAAATATTTGTCCATGGAAGCTTGCTTTTCCCTTCTTCGCAAGCTCTCTCTGTAGTAAGGCATCACATTGTCATTGAAAAGATTAAGACAACGGCCTACTACAGCTTTGTCTGGGTGAGTATGTTCAATAGTTGTTTGAATCTCTTCCCACATCTGACACACCTTCTTAATTACTGCAGAAGGGACATTCGCTGGTGCTGTTGGTGCTGCTGCCACCTCCTCCTCCACTGCAGAATCATTCGCTGCTGTGTTGGCTTGCTGTTCCTGTTGAAAGGCTAGGAGTTCTTCGGTGGTCAGTTCTTCGTTGTGTACTTCCACCAACTCCTCCACATCATCACCATCCAATTCCAAGCCCATTTGCTGGCCTAGACTAACAATTTCCTCAACAATAGGCGCATCATTTATAGGCTCAAACCCCTCAAAGTCTAGGTCTCTCACACCTTCAGGCCACAATTTTCTCCAGCCAGAGATCAGGGTTCTTTGAGTCACTTCTTGCCAGGCTTTGTCAACGAGTTTTAAAGCACTAAAAATGTTAAAATGCTCTCTCCAAAACTCTTTGAGGGTGAGGTCTGTGGCTTCAGTCACTTCAAAACATTTCCGGAAAAGTGCCCTTTCATACAGTTTCTTAAAATTCGCTATGATTTTCTGGTCCATAGGCTGAATTAGAGGAGTGGTGTTAGGAGGAAGGAATTTAACTGTGAGGAATTTATTGTATTGAGGCATCAAATCATCTTCCAAGCCTGGAGGATGAGCAGGAGCATTGTCAAGGAGAAGCACGGCTTTGAGTGGCAATTGTTTCTCCTGCAGATATTTTTCTATGGCAGGGCACAGCACTTCATTCACCCACTCCGAAAAAATAAGCCTAGTGACCCATGCTTTTTTATTAGACTTCCACATCACAGACAAACGGGTTTTCTGCACATTATACTGTTTGAAAACCCTTGGATTTTCAGAATGATACACTAGCAAGGGTTTAATTTTCAAATCGCCACTCGCATTTGAACACAGCACAAGCGTAAACCTATCTTTCATAGGCTTGTGTCCAGGCAAGGATTTTTCCTCCTTGGTAATGTATGTCCTCTTAGGCATTCTTTTCCAAAACAGTCCTGTTTCGTCACAATTAAACACTTGTTGCGGTAGGTATTCCCCAGTCTCTGCAAACTCTTTAAATTCGTCAATAAATCGTCCAGCGGCTGGTTTGTCTGAGCTGGCTGCCTCCCCATGCTTTGTAACACTATGGATACCACTTCTCTTTCTAAATTTTTCAAACCAGCCCCTGCTTGCCTTAAACTCTTTCTTATCTGCATCACTCGTTGCAGGGGTCTTCTTTAGAAGGTCTTCGTGCAACACCCTGGCTTTCTCACAAATAATGGCCTCCGAAACACTATCACCCCTCAACTCCTTGTCGTGTATCCAAATTAATAACAACTTTTCCACTTCTTCAAGTATTTGTGGTCTTTGTGCCGTTAATGTTCTTACTCCTTTTGCCACATTAGCACTCATAATCTTATTTTTCTTCTTAAGTATAGTGCATATTGTTGATGTGGCTTTGTTGTACTGCCTACAAAGTTCAACAACACGTGTACCGTTCTCATGCTTCCGAATGATCTCTTGTTTCTCCTCTATTGTCATCCTCACATGAACTTTCTGGCCTTTATCCTTACCACTGGCTTTCTTGGGACTCATGGTGAGATATATAATAACAAATTGTATAGACAAATCACCAAAAATCCAACAAAACACTGAAAATCCACGACAAGAATTGATGTGGGGGTAGTCACTGAGCGCGAGACAATGGTGAACTGAGGGGCAGCGGGGCAGAGGGGCGACAATCGCCGAACGACCACGCGCTAGGTCGGCTGTACGCGTATCAACAAACTCGCGTTCAAACTCGCCTCCCGAAGTAACCATCGCCTTCCGAGACAAATTTTTGGAGTAAATACACCTCGCCTTCCGAAAACCTCGCATACAGGGACAATCGCATTCCGAGGTACCACTGTAACCCTATTTGATACAGGAATATTGTCAATATATGCATAGAACCTACAGTAATTAAGTTGCACTATTTATAATCAAGTTCTATAATATGAACTTTTAAGAACTTTTACAGTAAATTATGCAAATTTGTATAACTGCTGCATCAACATCAACCCAAGAAGCAGCATTTACGCTCTCAATTTAAAACGTTGACGTATCCATATGCAGACGACGAGTCACAATAACGTGGCTGAAATATCCTCCTCCTCCTTCGCCTCCTTCCCTCATCACAATCGACTTGAGAATGGTCCAGGACGGACCGAAACGTCATTGTCCCTTCACTTTCTAGTGTGTGGTTTGGTCAACAAAATAAAATGTTAACGTTTCAGATTAAAGCTGTGATCACAGAGTGAACTCGACCATCAGGCTATATAGCCAGGGAGCTCAAACCCTCACATTCGCCTTAGACTCATCCTCAACGCTCTTGGCGATACAGTACTCTAGTATGTACTGTATTGCCAAGTATACGGTAATATCGTATATTACCAAAAATGTTAACATTTGGAACTACTAAAGTGGGCTGGATAATCCTGCCAATTTTCTATATTTGCCACTCGATAACAAACGGGAGTTTGTTATCGAGTGGCAAACTTACAAACCTAAGTAAACCTGCTTAACGTATTGAAGCCAATGCATAAAAGACTTCAATAGTACAGTATTTTAATTCTTACTAATGTGTTGCAATTGTATTTAGATTGGTCGACCTCGTACGAAATGCAAAGTATCGAGCGAGAAGATGGTTGGACAATTGAGGTAGCACTGAATCATGAAACAAAGTCACTGCTCAAGAATCATTAATGTAATTTCCATGCACATACCATAATACAGAATGACCTCGCTTATCTGGATTCCGCTAAACTTAATACTTTGGTATCCGCGCAAAATTGCATCTGGATAATTTTCTGGCAAAACTTCGCAATATCCGGACAGAAATCTGGATAACCAGAGATTAGGGTACGTAAATTTTCAAGAATTACACATTTCGAGATCTACATTATCAAACAAGAAAACAAACTACACCAAGCTAAGCTCTAGGTTCGCTTGTAAATTATATTTTTGAGTTATAGTGTGTGTTGAAGTACAAATTATGTTAGTTGGGGTACCAAAAAATTTTGAATATGATACTTTTTGGACTTCCGGATAAGCGGAATTCTTATAGAATATGTCTGGCTTGTCCAGATGGAGGTCCTTGCAAATATAATCTGGATAATTGAGCTCATACAGTACCGACTTTCCCCCCATTTTAGTACTGTACTGAATCGGAAAATTTTGACTATCATGATGAACATTTGTGTATTTATATATTCAGTACAACTCGATTCAAGGATCTACGATCAATCCGTCCTCTCATTAATGTCAATTTTTTGTGGTATTACCTGGAGAGGGTATTGTCCAATCTGCTAAAAATGCAATACAGCATATCAGCGAAAATTGAAGCACCAATATTGACATTTTTAAGCATCCCCCTCAATGCTTGCTTGGGTTTGTACTCGCATTGGAAAATAGTAATTTTGAGGGAAAATTGAAGAAAATGGGAAGTTTTGATACCAAAGTAGATACAAAGTTACGAAACAAAATTTAAAAATAAGAACAGGGCCAATATGATATCAACAAGGCTTTTCTGACTCTGAATTATTGTGCATCAATAACCTGACCAAGTCATCCATTTACAAACAAATCCTTTTGTTCATAGATTTACAACTGTAAAAATATGTGCAGTATTTAGATCTTTTCAAAGTCTACGAACAACCAACCAGTCACAGATTACCTTTGATAGCTGCACGACCAAATCTACTGACAACAAGCGTGTCGTCGTCAGTGACTGGCCGAGCGAGTTGTGCCGAGTTCTCCAGGGACTTCGACAGTTGTGGCGTGGATTCGTTCTTACTTGACGTCCCAGAAGACTTGTACTGCATTCTACTCTCTATAATACACAAAATATATCATTTTGGTCCTCTGATCACTCAGATTAAAAGCAAAGTGAAGAGGATAGCAAGTTTACATTTTAAGTCTTTTTCCCACACAGAATTATTTTTTTTCCTTTCAAAATACAAAATAATGTACGGGAGAATCATATTGATCTTAAAAGTGAATGTTTTTACTATATTTTCCACTGGATTAGACACAGTGTCATAACATTAAGGGTAAACTTGTGGGTAAGCTTAAAGGAAAGAACATGCTAATAGGGAAGAAGTGCCCTAAACTCACTTTCAATAATATGATGAAATATATTAAAATAGTTTTTTTCCCCACTAAATATCGTTGTAAATTAGGAGTGTGATAAGCGGTAGGACATCTTAAATGTTTTATACGCCAGCGAATACGGTAATTGAAACTTTAGCCATGACCATACCATTCTTGTTTGCAGAGGACGATGCCGAGCTGAGAAAATCTCCCTCGGGCTTGATGCATACCAAGCCTTGCTTTCGAAGATGTTCCACAATCTCCATTATCTAAAACGTGGAAATAAAACATGATAACTACGTATAATGTCAAAAAGACGACCATATTTAACTTTTACTATGGACTTTAAATATGCCCAAACGCCTCACGCCCTGCCAAGAACTGAATTCAGGACTATTTGGTTGGGAGTCAATGCAAGGATAGGATACAGCACAGGTAGATGCATGTACTTGACAGGGCGAACAGCACGAAACATTGGTTAGTTGTGCACTTAAGTTCAGAGGGAGAGTGTTGAAAAGTCTGGGACCCTTAATGTTGATGGAATTATGTCTCGGCATTTCTATTGCACCCCTGACAGGGGGCCGGACAGCCGAGTGGACAGTGCTCGGAATTCGTACTTCTGAGGTTCTGGGTTCAATCCCCGGTGGAGGCGGAAACAAATGGGCAGAGGTTCTTTCACCCTGATGCCCCCTGTTCACATATCAGTAAATAGGTACCTGGGAGTTAGACAGCTGCTACGGGCTGCTTCCTGGGGGATGTGTAACAAAAAGAAGGCCTGGTTGAGGACCGGGCCGCGTGGACACTGAGCCCCGAAATCATCTTGAGGTGACCTGCTTTTCAATGGGGGATATTGTGCACCTTCTGCCGTGCCTCCTAGTCATGAGTTATTTCCATGTGCAGATTTGGAACCAGTGCCTCTAATATTTTCCAAGAGTAAATTATCATGTATCTCTCCCGCCTGCACTAAAGAATACAGATTTAAACATTTTAAGCAGTCTCAATAATTTAGATGTTTTATATAGTGGATTCAAGCATTAAAATATCTTTGCATGTTCTACAAGTCAGCAATTTTTCCAGTTTTGAATTGGGCTGTTAGTGTGCAACAATATTCCACCCTAGAGAGCACTAGTGTCTTGAAAAGTACCACCATTGGTATAGCATCTTGTTTAAAAGGTTCTTGTTATCTAACCTGTCATTTTCTTGTAGTTTTGACAACTTCTTTATTGTATTCATTAAAAGCAAGATCTTCCGACATGATTACTCCTCAATCTCTTATATTCCAATTTTGTTCTATACTGTAATTTGACTGCATTTTGTTTTTTTTTTATTTTGATATTTTTGTAAAGGATGACATGGTAATATAGTTGCGTTGTTGTTTATGTGCGATATTAGGATAAGAAAGAGTACTGGAGTAGGCACAGCACTTTCCGGAACCAAGCTTTTCACGGTGGATGATCCAGATCTTGCTCTGTTGACTATTACACTCTGGGCTCTGTTCATTAGGAAGTTAAAGATCCATCTTCTTACTTTGCCAGTACTTTAAGTCCTTTTTTGTGTGCAACACCACCATACCTTGATGTTACCTTGAGGTGCTTCCGGGGCTTAGCGTCCCCGCGGCCCGGTTGTCAACCAGGCTGTTGGACGCGGCTGCTCGCAGCCTGACGTATGGTCACACTTTTCAAAAGCTTTTGCAAAATCTGTAATTACCCAAGTGTAGCTACAGGATGAGAACTACGCTCGTGGTGTTCCGTCTTCCCGGTACTCACCCAAGTGTAGCTACAGGATGAGAACTACGCTCGTGGTGTCCCGTCTTCCCGGTACTCACCCAAGTGTAGCTACAGGATGAGAACTACGCTCGTGGTGTCCCGTCTTCCCGATACTCACCCAAGTGTAGCTACAGGATGAGAACTATGCTCTTGGTGTTCCGTCTTCCCGGTACTCACCCAAGTGTAGCTACAGGATGAGAACTACGCTCGTGGTGTCCCGTCTTCCCGGTACTCACCCAAGTGTAGCTACAGGATGAGAACTACGCTCGTGGTGTCCCGTCTTCCCGGTACTCACCCAAGTGTAGCTACAGGATGAGAACTACGCTCGTGGTGTCCCGTCTTCCCGGTACTCACCCAAGTGTAGCTACAGGATGAGAACTACACTTGTGGTGTCCCGTCTTCCCGGTACTCACCCAAGTGTAGCTACAGGATGAGAACTACGCTCATGGTGTTCCATCTTCCCGGTACTCACCCAAGTGTAGCTACAGGATGAGAACTACGCTCGTGGTGTCCCGTCTTCCCGGTACTCACCCAAGTGTAGCTACAGGATGAGAACTACGCTCGTGGTGTCCCGTCTTCCCGGTACTCACCCAAGTGTAGCTACAGGATGAGAACTACGCTCGTGGTGTCCCGTCTTCCCGGTACTCACCCAAGTGTAGCTACAGGATGAGAACTACGCTCGTGGTGTCCCGTCTTCCTGGTACTCACCCAAGTGTAGCTACAGGATGAGAAGTAGCTCGTGGTATCCCGTCTTCCCGGTACTCACCCAAGTGTAGCTACAGGATGAGAACTACGCTCGTGGTGTCCCGTCTTCCCGGTACTCACCCAAGTGTAGCTACAGGATGAGAACTATGCTCGTGGTGTCCCGTCTTCCCGGTACTCACCCAAGTGTAGCTACAGGATGAGAACTACGCTCGTGGTGTCCCGTCTTCCCGGTACTCACCCAAGTGTAGCTACAGGATGAGAACTACGCTCGTGGTGTCCCGTCTTCCCGGTACTCACCCAAGTGTAGCTACAGGATGAGAACTACGCTCGTGGTGTCCCGTCTTCCCGGTACTCACCCAAGTGTAGCTACAGGATGAGAACTGCGCTCGTGGTGTCCCGTCTTCCCGGTACTCACCCAAGTGTAGCTACAGGATGAGAACTACGCTCGTGGTGTCCCGTCTTCCCGGTACTCACCCAAGTGTAGCTACAGGATGAGAACTGCGCTCGTGGTGTCCCGTCTTCCCGGTACTCTGTCATATAACGCTTTCAAATTACTGATGGTTTTGGCCTCCACCACCTTCTCACCTAACTTGTTCCAACCGTCTACCACTATGTTTACAAAAGTGAATTTTCTTATATTTCTTTGGCAGCTTTGTTTAGTTAAGTTTAAATCTCTGACCTCTTGTTCTGGAAGTTCCAGGTCTCAGGAATTCTGCCATATCAATTTTATAGATTCCTGTTAATATTTTGTATGTAGTGATCATATTGCCTCTCTCTCTTCTATCTTCTAGTTTTGGTATATTTAATACTTCTAAATGACACCAGCATTTTGCTTCTCCTCTATGGCATTTACGGCTAAATCATAGTAGTCTAACAATTGTGGGAGGTTGGAGTGCCCTGTTCTCAACCCCTTTTGTCCAGAGTTATGTAAAAACGCTCTGATTCCATGTGTTTCGCATATTTATTTGCACTTTTTTCAAATATTTTTTTATTATGTGTGACGTTAGTACTATCTTGAGGTTATCTCGAGATGATTTCGGGGCTTAGCATTCCCGCGGCCCAATCCTTGACCGGGACTCCTTTTTGTTACACATCCCCAGGAAGCAGCCTGTAGCAGCTGTCTAACTCCCAGGTATACCTATTTACTGTTAGGTAAACAGGGGCATCAGAGTGAAAGAAAATCTGCCCATTTGTTTCTGCCTCCGCCGGGAATCAAACCCGGAACCTTAGAACTATGAATATCGAGCGCTGTCCACTCAGCTGTCAGGCCCTCTTTTATTAGGTTCCCACACGAGTAACGTGTATTAATCGTTATGCTCCAAACGAGTTCACCATTGTTTATAAAAACTAGGTCTAGGGTATTTTCTTGCTGACCTCAACTTAAGACTCCTGTAATGGAAAAACAAACTTCTAACTAGGCCAATTAGTACAGTTGTGACAGGAATAATTTTATACTTACCTTACTATGCTTACTTTGGTCACGATTCATTCTCGGCATTATCAAATCTCCATTTACAGTTTTCTCACCTTTGTGTGTACGTCTATGTTGCGTGCCGATGCCTGTAGCGCCAGAAGTGAACAGCCAACCAAGCGCTTCAACTCCGGAAGAGAGATGGAAACACCGAGTCCCATGGACGAGAATAAGAGCGACGTTAATCCCCGGTCTTCGTTATCGGCCAAGGTAGACTGACACACTTCCAGTGGTGACAGGAATAAGGATTTGGCCTGAAAAAAACATATTATGATACTCATAATAAATTTATGCCATGAAACCACAGCAAAATGCAGAGTTATTGTCTATATTTTCTCACCAAATATGAGTACATAGTGTAAGGGCAGTACGCATGGCACAGCCGATATGTATTACCTACCTAATAATCAGTCGAGATTATGTGGGTCCCTATCTAATTTTAGCCTGGCCCCCCCTATAGCAACAGAATTTGTAACCTCTCTACCACTCGTTACGGAGTAGCTAGACCTCAGGAAACATTAATCATACTGCTAAAACCTCGGGCTTTGCTATGACTCTCTCCACATACTCCCTAACAATCATTATGTATCTAGTTCCCCTAACATGCTAGAACCACTGTCCCCTTCATTCCATGCCAACGGGTTTCACAAATACGTAGTTTTCAATGACACTAATTTCACTCCACAATATAAAGTGAAGCGAAAATCGATAAATGTTAAACCCTGTTAAATGTAGTATGAAAAGTCGTTCAATAAATAGTAGTTTATTACCAGGTTAGTTGTCCAAGTGGGCACCTATGAATAACAGACCTGGGGCTAGATTCACGGAGCAATTACGCAGGTAAAAGAACTCCCAGAACCCCATCAACCAGGTATCAACCAGGTACTTACGAACGTGTAACTCTCTCCTCGATACTTAACGGCTTTGGTTACATTTGTTAAACAGTTTATAAGCATGAAAACTTGCCAATCTCCTGTTGTTATTATTATAAACAACTTCCTGAGGCTCCAGAGCTCAGTATGCCTTCACGAGTCAATCTCGAGGAAAAATCCGGAGTTGGAGCCCCTAAGGCAGTTCGTTGTTGACGTCGACCTCGTTCTGGCAGCTCCTGCGACGTTGCTGGAACCATGTGTATTGGCATTTGCCTCTCTATTGGATAATTTCAGCAACGTGGAGAGACCTGCTGCATGGGTAACAGCTTCTCCTCCATATCTACCTACCCAGGCTTTGCGCCCTGTCAAGGGCGCAACTCCATAGTCTTTAGACTGAAGGATGCCTACTATTAGATGCTCCAGAGCTCATTAACTGTTTAACAATTGTAAACAAAGCCGCCAAAGATTGAGAAAAGATGTACAGGTTCGCAAGTGCTTGTGTAACTGCTTCGTGAATCTGGGCCTAGGATCAGGATCATCTCAAGATAACCTCTCAAGATAAGGATTCATGAAGCTCCATGTGCCCACTTATGGCACACCTTCACACCTTCACACCTTCCTTCAACCACGGTGGCTTAGTTACCATTTATTACGCAGTTTATGAGCTCCCACAATAAAACCAGCAAATTAGAAATAATTTTGAATGTAATGAAACGCCATTTTCTGGGTGAGTCCCGGAGGCTCCCCGGAGCTATCCCAGGCTGATATGCTAATGTCAGACTTTGGCATCAGTCATGTGTATGGAGTTCTTAGGCCTACCGGGGACCACGGCCAGAACCGGGCCCCCTCAGAGAGGCAAGGGGAGCAATGGCCTATAGAAGCCCCCGTGTGGTTGGAAGCATTCTATGTCTGCCATCGACCGGAACAGGCACCCAGAAAGGTAAGCGCCTCAAAACAAACCCCTATTCTGATTAAAATTGCTACCAAAAGCCGAACTAGTGGATAGAACTCCCCAACCGAAAACAAGCAAACTAGTGTGACGTCACACACCGCCGCTGTCTGCGCAGCTCCCCCCTCTCTGGGAGGGGAAAGGGGGAGCCCCAGACCCTCCACGCTGGCTACCCACACCTCAGTTCTTGAGGCTGGATGTCAAAAACGCGAAAAACCACCGACCGGAGGGAGGGAGGGATGCCGGGGAGCTTCCGGGACTCGCCCAGAAAATGGCGTTTCATTACATTCAACGCTGGTTTTCTGGGGGGAGCCCCGTCGGCTCCCCGGAGCTAACTACCCACAGACGGAAAAAGAGGGACTTACCCGGGAGGCGGTCGTCGCTCACTCCTCAACTCGAAGCCGAGAGAACTGGCTGCAACCGCCGACCCTAAGCAACACAGGCCCGACGGGGCTCAGGGACATTCACAAGGTAACGAGCAGCCAGGACCCTGTTCAACCGCCAAAATCCCCGCACCCAAATATCAGACCAAGACATATTCCCAAAAACGGCAGCAAGAGCTGCGAACTTACGAACGTCATGGGCACGGGGATAGACCGCAGGCTGGCTGGATAACCCTGCGGACGACCTGGGAGACCCGAACCCGCAAACAGGGAAGAAGGGAAACCGGATCAATCCACAGTGCGTCCCCGGACACAGAAGCCGTGGCGCGCAAGTAACGGCGAAGCGCCGCAACCGGACACAAAACATGATGCACCCCCGGCCTGACCAACCAAGCATCAACCACCCATGGACCCCTCCGGAACGCAGCAGTCTCATTCTTCGCCAGAAAAGAAGGAGATGGCTGCAAACGAACAAAACAATCACCACGACCAAAAGAGCAGAAACCCCTGCGCCGGAGGAGAGCATGAAGCTCCCCTACCCGACCCCCAGAGGCCAAAGCCAACAAGAAAAGTGCCTTGGGAAAACAATCCTGGACCGAAGGGGCCACAACGAAATGAGGAGACGAAAGGAAAGCAAGCACTCTGTCCAAAGACCAGGATGGCTCAGGCGACGCATGAGCAGGCCGGAGGTGAAACAATGCACGAGACAGCTTGCGAAACGGCGCAGAAGTAACATCGATACCGAAAGCAAGCTGAAGCGGCTCTGCCAGCGCCACACGATACGAAGCGACAGTGTTAGGCATAAGATGACGGTCCTGAAACAACCACGAGAGGAAGGACAAGACCACCCGAACAGACAAGGAGCTAACACGACGAAGACGCAAAAAGAAACGGAAGGACCGCCAGGAAACTTCATACTGCCGCCGAGAAGAAGCCCTCAGGTGGGACACCAACAAGGAGGCCACCTGATCACCATAGAGATGATGATAGACTCGAGTCAAAAAAACCATACGCGAAGACTCGAGGAGAACAGTGGAAGGGCAAAAACAAACTGAATAAAATGACAGAACCCCCCACCAGGCAAAAACAAAAATAAAAACAAAACCCTGCAAGAGGACAGCGAACCCCAAAGAACAGAGCCGGCCGCGATGTCGGGAATACAAGCTGAGCAGCACCCTGCGCCCCTACCAGTGCAAACTGCCTCTTACCTGCCGGTAACAAGGGAGAACAGAACACCCAAGAGCCCAACAGGCGGCCGAAAAACCGAAAGGTAAAACGGACCAGCAGAGGCAGACCCCGAGGAGCCTGTGCAAGGTAGGCCCAAGGGCAGTACTTACAGGGCATCTAGGGAAGGCAGCCCTAGGCGCATGCAGCCCGAGTACTGAAGATAACTCCTGGCTCTCGCACCCACAAAACCAACACCACACGCAAAGCACAGTGCAGTAGCGACACCGGAGCCAGAGCACACGACCATCGCCTATAGTATCAGCCTCAAGAACTGAGGTGTGGGTAGCCGGCGTGGAGGGTCTGGGGCTCCCCCTTCCCCCTCCCAGGGAGGAGGGAGCTGCGCAGACAGCGGCGCGGCGGTGTGACGTCACACTAGTTTGCTTGTTTTTGGTTGGGGAGTTCTATCCACTAGTTCGGCTTTTGGTAGCAATTTTAACCAGAATAGGGGTTTGTTTTGAGGCGCTTACCTTTCTGGGTGCCTGTTCCAGTCGATGGCAGACATAGAATGCTTCCAACCACACGGGGGCTTCTATAGGCCATTGCTCCCCTTGCCTCTCTGAGGGGGCCCGGTTCTGGCCGTGGTCCCCGGTAGGCCTAAGAACTCCATACACATGACTGATGCCAAAGTCTGACATTAGCATATCAGCCTGGGATAGCTCCGGGGAGCCGACGGGGCTCCCCCCAGAAAAATAATAAATAATAATAAGACACAGAGAAATCACAGTAACGTGACGTATCAAGAAAAATCAGCAGGAGCCACAAAGAGAGTTCGAACATATGCTCTGGGTACTCCTAAGATCACGCCTTAGAAGTGTGCTCTCTTGTCCTGAAATTCTACCTCTGATGCTTCTATGATTACAGAACAGGATAAACAAAGTTAAGTTGCAATTGGAATACATTTTTGAGGGATAGAGAAAGCACTTTTCTGTTAACAATCTGTTAACACAACTCCAGTAACAATCTGTTACTTGTTACTGGAGAATACAGTACTAGTATTCTCCTAGTCGACTAGAGATCTTGTTGTACGGAGCAACAAAGCGGTATAACTCGGGAAATCTTTTGAAACGTATAATATATTCCTTACATACTGTACTAGTATTCTCCAGCAGCTTCCTAGTGCCATCATGGCTCGACAGGAACAATTTGGCAATTTCTTCCTACGTCAGTACAGCATGTTGACCTGCCCCAATTATGGCAGATGCTATTCAAAGTCGACTAGAATCTTGTTGCAGTGAGCAACCAAGTGGAATAACTTGGGGGAATCTTTTGAAAAGTATAATATATATTCCTTTCCTGACTACATAAACATGAACCAAAGTAATTTAACTAACCTGAGTGATGGTAAGCAATTCCATAAGGCAATGTTTTACGGAGAACCGAGCACACAGAACCGCCACCTTCCTCCACCAATGCTCGATACAACGAGACCTTGTTTACATGCTTTATCTAAGAATAAAAGAAACTAAATTAAGGTTAAGGTGATGCAGGATCTTGTAATGGACACTGTAAACACACGGGATTAAAATAAGGAGAGTCGCGTACCAGAATAAATAGTGCTTTGCATTTACATCAAAACATCTTTTTGGAGCTACATCATTTGGCCACTTTGTTACAACTAAGGTCCCACTATTTGTGGATATCAGGTCAAACAGGCAGGCAGGGGAAAACAAATATCAGTGCTTACGGGAATTTTGAAGCTTTCCTGCAGATCACATTGTAACGAGAGTGTCACTGAACAAAAATTAATAATCCAGCCAGAAATGATCCCGATATCAGTTCGTATAAAAAATATCCTAAGTTCTTGCAAGTCCTTGTCCGCTAACAAATGCCAAGTGAGGGTCCTCGCTAACCACCTTCTAGTCTCCTTTGTTATCCTACAGAATACCACCAGAACGCAGCATCATGCACATCTCTTAGGGGGTTCACTCACCTCGGTCCTAAACATGCTACCTGACACTAAGAAGGAACTCTGTACATAGATGACAAGGGAGGACACGCAACTAAATGTACCCAAGGAGTACAAGCAGCCGTGAGCCTGGAACATCACCAGCGAGATTCTGATAAAGCTAAGCACTGCTGTGCCGCCAGGGTGGCCTGGTCGCAGACCAGGGGCCAGATTCACGAAGCAGTTACGCAAGCACAGGGCCTCGTAGCCAGGTGGATAGCGCGCAGGACTCGTAATTCTGTGGCGCGGGTTCGGTACCCGCACGAGGCAGAAACAAATGGGCAAAGTTTCTTTCACCCTGAATGCCCCTGTTACCTAGCAGTAAATAGGTACCTGGGAGTTAGTCAGCTTTCACGAGCTGCTTCCTGGGGGTGGAGGCCTGGTCTAGGACCGGGCCGCGGGGACACTAAAGCCCCGAAATCAACTCAAGATAACCGACTCAAGATAACTTACGAACGTGTACATCTTTCCTCAACCTTTGACAGCTTTGGTTACATTTATTAAACAATTTACAATCATGAAAATTTGCCAATCAACTGTTGTTATTGTTATAAACAGCCTCCTGGTGCTTTGGAGCTCATGAACTGTTTAATAATTGTAAACAAAGCAGCCAAGGTTTTTGGTCAATCCTGTCCAAAAACCCAGCGTTGAATGTAACGAAGCTCTAATTTCTGGGCAAGCCTCAGCGGCTCCCTGAAGCCACAGTGCTAACATTGTGTCAAATCATTAGGTGCCATCAATCATGAAAACCTTTTAGGCCTACTGGGGACTATGAGCCAGAACTTGGCCCCCCTCAAGAGAGGCGCAGGCATCAGTGGCACATACTGTACAGTAAAACTTCTATAAAATTTATTCACATGAATAAATTAAAATTAATTTTTTACCAATAGTTTTTTTTTTTTTTAGCGCAAGAGCCAAGGCTTCCTGCGCCGCTCTAGAGGGGGAGCCCAGGTTCTGGTCCGTGGTTCCACGACGGGTTAAAAGAAATGCAAAACTGATGGCATCTAGTAGTAGTATGTCACTACGTTGACATATTAGCTTCAGGAAGCCACAAGGAGCTGCCCTCAGAAAAATGTCTCCTCGGAAAAATGTGACTTATTAGGCGAGACGACAAGTTGGCTGTGCACACCAACACCGACCTGCAAGTGTTTTCCCAGGTCACAAACACATTGTAATCACACACACACACACACACACACACACACACACACACACACACACACACACACACACACACACACACACACACAGGATTAAAACAGAAGAGGACTGTTTGAGGCTTCAAGAAGACCTAGACAAGCTGAAGGAATGGTCGAACAAATGGTTGTTAGAGTTTAACCCAACCAAATGTAATGTAATGAAGATAGGTGTAGGGAGCAGGAGGCCAGATACAAGGTATCATCTGGGAGAGGAAATTCTTCAGGAGTCAGAGAAGGAAAAAGACTTGGGGGGTTGATATCACGCCAGACCTGTCTCCTGCAGCACATATCAAGCGGATAACATCAGCGGCATATGCCAGGCTGGCCAACATACGAACGGCATTCAGAAACTTGTGTAAAGAATCATTCAGAACTTTGTATACCACATATGTCAGGCCAATCCTGGAGTATGCAGCCCCAGCATGGAGTCCATATCTAGTCAAGGATAAGACTAAACTGGAAAAGGTTCAAAGGTTTGCCACCAGACTAGTACCCGAGCTGAGAGGTATGAGCTACGAGGAGACTACGGGAATTAAACCTCACTTCGCTGGAAGACAGAAGAGTTAGGGGGGACATGATCACCACATTCAAGATTCTGAAGGGGATTGATAGGGTAGATAAAGACAGTCTATTTAACACAAGGGGAACACGCACAAGGGGACACGGGTGGAAACTGAGTGCCCAAATGAGCCACAGAGATATTAGAAAGAACTTTTTTAGTGTCAGAGTGGTTGACAAATGGAATGCATTAGGAAGTGATGTGGTGGAGGCTGACTCCATACACAGTTTCAAGTGTAGATATGACAGAGCCCGATAGGCTCAGGAATCTGTACACCTGTTGATTGACGGTTGAGAGGCGGGACCAAAGAGCCAGAGCTCAACCCCCGCAAACACAACTAGGTGAGTACAACTAGGTGAGTACACACACACACACACACACACACACACACACACACACATGTAAAGCTATTACCTTTATTACCATAGAATTATTACCATATATTCTAGTCCCTAATACTGGAGAGCATACCACCCACCATCAACAAGAACCGGCCTTGAAATGGAAATGCAAAATAAAACAATTAAAAAAACTGGTTCCAGCCTACTGACCACAGACACTGGATAAGTAAGGCAATATTTGAGCTGACTTGGGTCAGTGCAACTTTAAGGTGGGGGTGGGGGGGGGGGGCATGATGCCGTCACCTGGCAATGGCGACTGGTTAATTAGGGCCCTTATCTGATGGTCCAAAAACGTTGCAGCAAAGCTCGAAGATACCCGGAAGCACCATGAGTTACTGTACTCTTGCCCGATTGCACAATCTGATATTCAACACCAATAGTGGGATTTTACTTGAAAAAGAATGGGGGCAAGATCTCAAAAAAAAGGAGTTTATAAATACAAAGCGTTTTATGGACACGTGTACGTAACATCAATATGTACACGTGACTATCATCGTAGATACATCTGGCATGCATCTTATAGCATTAAACACCACAAATAAAGTATATGATGTCAGGATGTTAAGGAGATATTTCACTCCATATTAAATGTAATCAAAACAATCGACATAAAACTGAATTACAATCTTACCTGAATCAAACCTCGCGGCAGAATCCGGCAAATTAATTCTGCCAAGGTCTCACAGTTGCGTCGTGTCGGGCAAAAGACCAGGCAGGAGTGATCAGGCACCACTTCTCCGACTAAACCGCCAATCATATCGGCATCCAACCGCTTCTGCTCACTACTGCTGTACTGGGTCATATCACAAAAGTCTTCACTTGCAGTATATTAGCAAACTAGTACCCCAATAAACAAATCCACAAGGGCCGTGACGAGGATTCGAACCTGCGTCCGGGAGCATCCCAGACACTGCCTTAATCGACTGAGCTACGACAGGGTTAAAAAGAATGGATCGCCCTTGTGGATTTGTTCATTTGATGCATCACGTTAGTATGATCTCTGCATGTGATGTTGTACCCCAATAATTCTACCATATGAAATATCTGTCATTCTCACACAAATGCAATATTAATTTTATATTATATTTATATATTTATTTATACTTTGGCAGCAGGCATGGTTTTAAACATGGTGTATTTGGAAAAATGACCACATTGCTGGCATTGTCTATGTTAATGTGTAAACGTTTTATGCTTTTTACCATTTGCTTAGTATCGGTATCAAGAAGGGCAATAAAGTTACCAAAATCCATGGTAAGGAAACTAGTAATTATTGAAGAATTTATTTTCTATAACGAGTGATCCCTTTCAAAACCACGTTCAGGGCAAGAATGAATAACCGATGTACACTTTTTGGTTGAATACACCTTAGGCGAGAGCCACCAACAGGAAGCAGCTCCTGAACACTATAAAGAAGACAAATCTGGCAATGCAAGACCAGCACTAGGAAGCATATAGGGAAGGTAACCTTGAACACGTGGCAGAATCCAAGATATCCAAGATCAAAGAATCGAAGATCTCTCCAAGCATTCTCAAAGCCAAAACCATTCTCAACACACCACACCACTTAGCTGCACAGAGGAGCCAATACCGACAAGAGGCGACTCGGAAACCACTACTACATCAGCGACAGATCATCACGTCGCCGACGGCTCAGACCCCGACAGACAGCGGGTTATTTCCTCCTCTCCCAAACAAGTGAGGGAGGTAGTGCGAAGGAGCTTGCGCTACTTTTGCAACAACTTGAAAGTTTGTTTATATAGCAGAGGGAGTTCATTAAGCAAGTTTCAAAGCTTCAGTCTCTTGAATGCAACAGAGGTTTGACTCAATAACTCTGGTTGTTTTCTCCGGTGACGTGGCAAAATGTCACCGCTGCCAATGCCTCTGGAGCATTGACAATGCTCCAAAACAATGGAGCCGGTCGGCCGAGCGGACAGCACGCTGGACTTGTGATCCTGTGGTCCTGGGTTCGATCCCAGGCGCCGGGGAGAAACAATGGGCATTGTTTCTTTCACCCTATGCCCCTGTTATCTAGCAGTAAAATAGGTACCTGGGTGTTAGTCAGCTGTCACGGGCTGCTTCCTGGGGGTGGAGGCCTGGTCGAGGACCGGGCCGCGGGGACACTAAAAAAAAAAGCCCCGAAATCATCTCGATTAAGATAACCTCTGCGAAGGGGTGAACCAGGTTCTGGCGCTGGTTCCCGGAAGGCTTTTAGAACTCCCTGGCTGATGTAACCTAGTAGATAGGAACCATCTTAGTGTATAGGGGCCTCGTAACCTGGTGGATAGCGCGCATGACTCGTAATTCTGTGGCGCGGGTTCGATTCCCGCACCAGGCAGAAACAAATGGGCAAAGTTTCTTTCACCCTGAATGCCCCTGTTACCTAGCAGTAAATAGGTACCTGGGAGTTAGTCAGCTGTCACGGGCTGCTTCCTGGGGGTGGAGGCCTGGTCGAGGACCGGGCCGCGGGGACACTAAAGCCCCGAAATCATCTCAAGATAACCTCAAGATAGCTTCAGGAAGACACAAAAACCTCCAATGTGAGATGATCTCACATTGATAGGTGATCTCTCAGCTAGACTTTTACCACACGGCTGCAGTGCCGTGCGCCAAGCACTGGCTATCACCTTTATCCAAGGACACAAGTACGGTAATGTGTATCGGGTGTTATCTTGAGATGATTTCGGGGCTTTAGTGTCCCCGCGGCCCGGTCCTCGACCAGGCCTCCACCCCCAGGAAGCAGCCCGTGACAGCTGACTAACACCCAGGTACCTATTTTACTGCTAGGTAACAGGGGCATTCAGGGTGAAAGAAACTTTGCCCATTTGTTTCTGCCTCGTGCGGGAATCGAACCCGCGCCACAGAACTACGAGTCCTGCGCGCTATCCACCAGGCTACGAGGCCCCCTACGGATCCATGACCACACTTGCAGTTCAAATGTCATGCGAGTGTGATGACATATGACGTCTGGTTATACTAGAAGATGGCAGTTTATACATCTCGCCGGTATTCTCTTGGGTGGATCTCGTCGCCATTTTGGATGGTGCAAGAGTACAAGGCAGCGAAGGGTGGCTCTCGACTGGGCTGGCGTGACATGCCCTGACCTTCGCCAATGGTTTTGATAGCCCGTCCACCCAGTGACATCAGAGAAGGCCATAGTTTAACCAATCAGATGTGTGTGTGTGTGTGTGTTGATTGTAACTGCATTCTGATTAGCATTCTATGTGGAAGCTTCTAACCTAAGTGAAGCAAAGTGAGCTCGGCTAGCTCACATTTAGCTCTCGTCTCCTCATTGTCAGTGCGGTGACCCAAAGAGGGAGACCCTGGCACATTGGAAACCAGCCAATATACCAGGGGGGACCAATCAATATACCAGGGGACCAACCAATATACCAGGGGACCAACCAATATACCAGGGGGACCAACCAAAATACCAGGAATTACCTTCCAAAAAATTCTTCCAGTAAAGAATATAGTGACAGAAGATAAAGAGAAGGGTGTAAGATATGGCTGTGTGTTCCCTGATTGGAACACAAGTAAGGAAATAAGATAGGAAGTCAAGAGGAAGAGAAACAAAAAGAGGGACAGGAAATGGAGTTGGGGAGATAACAAGAAGCGAGACCACGGCAAGAGGAGGATAACAGGGCACAGCAAGATATTGAGCCTAATCTCAACGGTTAGGAAAGAGCCCCGTGAACGAGTATGACACTAGACTAGCACTCACAAATACCACCCTTCGAAATGGGGTTCCCTCAAAGGGAGAATCTACCTGCCTGGAGGAAACCACTCGCCCACACACAAGCGAGTAGTATCAAATTTAGAATGCAAATGCAGACAGCATTACAAATAATGGAGTAGAATTGCAAGAACAGGTGACAGAACTGCATCCTCACATCATCAGTTACGGAGACAAAACTAACAAATAGAGACAAATGGAATGCAATATTCCAAGTACTGTATCCCATCTCCAAGAACACTGGAGCTTGGAGGAGATAGAAATCCAGAAGGTAATCGACCAGAAGGACTTTATAGTAGGTTGACTAGACCACACACTAGAGAGTGAAGGGATGATGACGTTTCGGTCCGTCCTGGACCATTCTCAAGTCGACTTTATAGTAGTCGACATTCATCAGTCTCGGGATACTACAGAGTTGCGCTCCGGTTGTCGGTCTCCAGGACGCAAAGTCAGGGTAGGTTGATATGGAGGAGAAACTGCTCCCCCATGCAGCAGGTCTAGCCAAGGAAGGCTGGACCCTCCTGGGCTGGGCTCTCCATGGCGCCGAGTTTCTCCAATGGCAAGGCAGATGCCAATACGATTGGTTCCAGCGCCGTCGCAGGAATGGTCAGAATGAGGTTGAAGGCAACAATGAACTGCCCCAGGGGCTCCAGCTCCAGAGTTTACCTCAAAATTGGTAAAAGAAGGCACAGGGCCCCCAAACCCGGAGACCGCCGTGGTCGGAGAAGAACCACCCCATCAAGGACAAGAACGACCCCAGCCTCCTGAAGCAGAGCTTCATACTAGCAATGACAACAGTTAGGACCATAAAGATGTTACTGTATTTAGAACCCTCCATTAACAACAAGGTCAAGAGAGGAGTATCATAAATATATATACATATATGATATTCAACAACATGTATATTGTATTCAATGACCACACAAACTATATAGCATATACCATCTATTATTTACCAATACTCTTAAGACCATTTATTTCCAAACCCTTTGACACAAAAATCATAATTATATCACAATAAATGATTATGAAAACTTTTCAAGAATATTGTCATTTTACACGCCACTGAACGAGACCCCAAAAGAGCTGGACCTTTTACCGCTTGATATGTTGCAAGTGGTCAGACTGCAATCCATTGCATTTATCAGTGCAACCTAGGCCCAGATTGTACTAGAGATCCAAGGCTAAATCCAAGATCTAGCCTTGGATTTGCAGTGCAACAATATTCACTTGTACTGGATTATATTATGCAAAGATGGATTACAACTCCCAAAAATTTTACTTACCGGAAAACAGCAAAGGCGCTGATTCTTTAGTAAATCTTCATCTACTCGGGCAGCCGAGTTTACTTCCCACACCTGCTCGCCAATCTGCAAGAAGCATCACTTTTATTCAGGATACACGTGTGTGCACACAAATATTTCCTTCTATACCAAAACAAAATTTCCGTATGTAAAACACTCTTAACATTATCTGCAACAAGGAATGTTTTGCACAGTGAAAGTACAAGAACAACCTGTGAGCAAATACTGAAGTCATATGATGGCACCAAACCTGCATCTCTGCCATCCGCAGGTACATGCCTAAGAGCAGTTCAGAGACGAGGGATCGATCCCCTCGTACGGCTTCAATATTTTGTCATTTGGCATTATAATTTCTATGTACTTCTAGTTATGTTATTTCCTATATGTGAAGGCACACACACTGGCTTGCTTTCCTTCATGGAGGAAAAATAATATTTACATCATGTGATTTGAATCATATCCCCTTAACAGTAGATATGCAATCAGTTTCCAATAGCACTACTTTCCTTTACTCTATAAATACTCACTTTAATCAGTGAAACGTCCGAGGAAAACACACGATGTGTCAGCAAAGTCGGGCACCGTGTGTAATTACCTAAGTGTAGTTACAGGATGAGAGCTACGCTCGTGGTGTCCCGTCTTCCCAGCACTCTTTGTCATATAACGCTTTGAAACTACCGACGGTCTTGGCCTCCACCACCACCTCACCTAACTTGTTCCAACCGTCCACCACTCTGTTTGCGAAAGTGAATTTTCTTATATTGCTTCGGCATCTGTGTTTAGCTAGTTTAAATCTATGACCTCTTGTTCTTGAAGTTCCAGGTCTCAAGAAATCTTCCCTATCGATTTTATCAATTCCTGTTACTATTTTGTATGTAGTGATCATATCACCTCTTTTTCTTCTGTCTTCTAGTTTTGGCATATTTAATGCCTCTAACCTCTTCTCGTAGCTCTTGCCCTTCAGTTCTGGGAGCCACTTAGTAGCATGTCTTTGCACCTTTTCCAGTTTGTTGATGTGCTTCTTAAGATATGGGCACCACACAACTGCTGCATATTCTAGCTTTGGCCTAACAGAAGTCGTGAACAATTTCTTTAGTATATCGCCATCCATGTATTTAAAAGCAATTCTGAAGTTAGAAAGCGTGGCATAGGCTCCTCGCACAATATTCTTTATGTGGTCCTCAGGTGATAGTTTTCTATCTATAACCACCCCTAGATCTCTTTCTTTATCAGAATTCTTTAAAGATTTCTCACATAATATGTAGGTTGTGTGAGGTCTATGTTCTCCTATTCCACATTCCATAACATGGCATTTATTAACATTAAATTCCATTTGCCAAGTGGTGCTCCATATACTTTTGTCCAGGTCATCTTGAAGGGCATGACAATCATCTACGTTTCTTATCCTTCCTATTATCTTAGCATCATCAGCAAACATGTTCATATAATTATGTATACCAACTTGTAGATCATTTATGTAGACAATAAACATCACTGGTGCAAGAACTGAACCCTGTGGTACTCCACTTGTGACATATGTGCTGACAGGTGCCAGACACACTCGCCACGCAACCCTTCAGAGCACCTCCACCCAGTCAAACAGTATGTGTGTGTGTGTGTGTGTGTGTGTGTGTGTGTGTGTATATGTATGTATGTATGTATGTATGTATGTATGTATGTATGTATGTATGTATGTATGTATGTATGTATGTATATATATATATGTATATATATATATATATATATATATATATATATATATATATATATATATATATATATATATATATATATATATATATATATATATATATATATATATATATATATATATATATATATATATATATATATATATATATATATATATATATATATATATATATATATATATATATATATATATATATATATATATATATATATATATATATATATATATATATATATATATATATATATATATATATATATATATATATATATATATATATATATATATATATATATATATATATATATATATATATATATATATATATATATATATATATATATATATATATATATATATATATATATATATATATATATATATATCCCCTTATTTGTGTTCTTACATTTTGCATAATATTAATTAATAATTCTATAATGAAAAATTATATTTTGCACATAGGCATGAATGACAAATTTGTTACTGCTGCTGTTCAAGAGGTTATTATGTAAATTTCTTTGTAACATAGATGGGTACAGATCTAATCTCTAACAAAAACCACCGTTGAATGTAATGAAATGCCTGTTTCTGGTAGAGCCCTGACGGCTCCCCGAAGCTATTATGCCGACTGCTGCTAGCTACCCGGTCACATCACTTGTGGGAGTTGTGTTTGGCCTACTGGGGACCAGGGGGCCAGATTTACGAAGCACCTATGCAAGTACTTACGAACGTGTACACCTTTCCTCAATCTTTGACAGCTTTGGTTAAATTTATTAAACAGTTTACAAGCATGAAAACTTGCCAATCAACTGTTGTTATTGTTATAAACAGCCTCCTGGTGCTTCAGAGCTCATTAACCCCTTAATAATTGTAAACAAAGCCGCCAAAGATTGAGTAAAGATGTACAGGTTTGCAAGTGCTTGCGTAACTGCTTCGTGAATCTGGCCCCAGAGCCAGAGCTTGGCCCCCCTCTCACAGTGGTGTAGAGAGGAAATGACATCCCACCGCCCTACTAGGAAAGCACCCAGAAAGTTAGCAAAGCTATACAGGCTGGGTTTACAGGACTTGAAGCCTTGAAACTGCTCGGTCAGTAACCAGGCCTCCTTATCTGGTAGGAGAAAGCTCTGCCTACTTTCTGACTGCTTTCCTGGTGGGGTGACAATGTCACTTGCTCTCTACACCTCTGAGGGGGCCAGGTTGTGGCCCCGATCCCCGGCAGGCCAAACACAGCTCCTGCAACTGACGTGACCTAGTAACTAGGAGTAATATCTACGACAACTTCAGGGAGCTACTGGGAGGCAACCCCAGAAAATCTGAACGTATTAGTCAAAGTATTGGTATACCTATACTACCAATTAGCCAGCTACTAAGCTTAGTTTACTGCTGGATACTCAAACTGCCTTACCTTACTGATCTTAAGTGTTAATTACAACTGAAACCTATATAAAAAAAAGCTGTAGTTGAACAATTGCCAATCACCAAGCATGTGTACCTCCCTTCCTCTCTCTCTCTCAGGATTGAATTAATGAACCTAACAGTAGACTTGGGGAACTTATTCCTGTACGTTAACTGGTCTGTGCTCCTCTTTCTCTTCATTGAAACTAACTATATACCCAGGAACCTATATTTACCTACGAGTTAACCAGCCTACGACACCCTCTTCACTGTAACATTTAAACATGAGGATTTTTTTCTAATTAAGTTTAATGAATGCCAATGAGTTTTTATGGTAAATGCATATTAGTGGCTTTAGGGATAGTATATACTAGCTCTACCTTGGAACCCAACATTCTGCTTGTAACTCAATACCTATACTGTATGTACTTTTACCTAAATAAACTATGTTTGTGTGCGGAATATCCAGAGAAACGGAAAAGAAAGATAAACGTTTCGGTCGATGAAGGCCGTTGTCAACAACACGCCACTGGGTGTTGACAACGGCCTTCATTGGCCGAAACATCCATCTTTCTTTTCCGTTTCTCTGTGGATTTTTCGCATACAAATGATCTGTGTTTCGTTGTTCGTCAATTGCCCGAAACTATATATTCATTTATTTATTGGATCAATTGGGTTAACATCTAACATACCTTAACGTATTCAGTTAGCTGTACAGGTCTGAAGCTTCCAGTATACAACTTGGCATCCAAATAATGGGCCAATTCCTTCAGATTACCAACTGTCGCACTCATGGCCACAAGCCGAACTTTCGCTGCAAAGAAATTGCAATAGATTGTTTTTTACCAGGTTACAGAATGTGTCTATTTTCCCCATCCATCTATTATCTAATTGGGTTGCAGACAAATGGAATAAATTAACAGCTATTATTGAGGCTACACATTAATTAAAATATAAAAAATAATTCATTGATACAGTACCCAAATGTAAATGTTCAGATCTAAGTAGAGCCCGTTGTGTGACAGTACCCGGATCGGGTTCCGAGAGTTCTACTCCAAGCCTGGGTTTTCTGTCCCTAATAGTGAGATACTAAGTAGCATGCTGCATTCATGCATATGAAACATGTTTGTATGCACCTCTATATTTCCATGGAACGGGGCACATTTACAAGAATAACCAAGCGAGAATATGCTCATAACATTTATGGGAATAGCAACTTTTCCATGCAGTGTAGCGCATTTGTGAGGACAGCAAGACTTACGTGCTGCATATAGCAACTTTTCCATGCAGTGTAGCGCATTTGTGAGAACAGCAAGACTTACGTGCTGCATATAGCAACTTTTCCATGCAGTGTAGCGCATTTGTGAGAACAGCAAGACTTACGTGCTGCATATAGCAACTTTTCCATGCAATGTAGCGCATTTGTGAGGACAGCAAGACTTACGTGCTGCATATAGCAACTTTTCCATGCAATGTAGCGCATTTGTGAGAACAGCAAGACTTACGTGCTGCATATAGCAACTTTTCCATGCAGTGTAGCGCATTTGTGAGAACAGCAAGACTTACGTGCTGCATATAGCAACTTTTCCATGCAGTGTAGCGCATTTGTGAGAACAGCAAGACTTACGTGCTGCATATAGCAACTTTTCCATGCAGTGTAGCGCATTTGTGAGAACAGCAAGACTTACGTGCTGCATATAGCAACTTTTCCATGCAATGTAGCGCATTTGTGAGAACAGCAAGACTTACGTGCTGCATATACAGTAGCAACTTTTCCATGCAGTGTAGCGCATGCGTGAGAACAGCAAGACTTACGTGCTGCATATACAGTAGCAACTTTTCCATGCAGTGTAGCGCATTTGTGAGAACAGCAAGACTTACGTGCTGTATATAGCAACTTTTCCATGCAGTGTAGCGCATTTGTGAGAACAGCAAGACTTACGTGCTGTATATAGCAACTTTTCCATGCAGTGTAGCACATTTGTGAGAACAGCAAGACTTACGTGCTGCATAGCGCATCTTGGTGAGAACCCCTTCCAGCGTTGCCCCTCGCCCTCCATTCTCGCCCAACATGTGTACTTCATCGACCACCACGAGGCCCAGCTCTTCAACACGTCTCGTTTCCAGAAGGGCATTTACAAGTCCTGATGCCTTCTCTATGGTTGCTACGTAAATAACTCGTCTGAAGAAAAATAGAAGTGAAACTAAACATTTGTTTTATTATAGACAGTATTCCTAGTTCATATGCTAGGTATGTACTATACACAATGGTTAAGGTCGGGTGCTGGAGGGAGTTGTGTATAATCCTGGTTTGTGCCTCGGAGAGGCTACGGGATCCATTAAGTTCAGTTGAACTTCGGTTTCAACTCTTTTACCCTGTTGCAGCTCAGTCGATTAAGGCAGTGTCTGGGATGCTCCCGGACGCAGGTTTGAATCCTCGCCACGGCCCTTGTGGATTTGTTCATTTGATGCATCACGTTAGTGTGATCTCTGCATGTAATGGTTAATGGTGGAGGGGGTGTGTGTTTATGGTTTATGTTTATGTTTATGGTGTGGGAGGATATTCAGATAGGTTAGAATACCTTGAGGTGTTTTACCTTGAGGTGTTTATGGGGCTTAGCGTCCCTGCGGCCCGGTCGTCAACCAGGCCTATTCAGAATGGATAGGGTCGACATATGGCTGATGTCGTGGGTTGGAAGGGGTGATGTGTGTATACTTAGTAGGATAGTGAGTATGTATTTGATTGTGTAGGGGTGACTGGTGGTGGATTGAAATGTGTGTATGGGCACAGTTTGTGTGGGGTGGACGACTGGTGGTGGATTGAGACGTGGGTATGGGTATGGTTTGTGTGTTGTGGGTATGCAGATCATAGGTGGTGGTGGTGGTTGCTTGTGTGGCTAAACAAGTGGTCGACAGTGGTAGCATAGGTGTTCTATATATAAATGCAGAGGGGCACTTAAGGCAAAGATTTTAAGGCAATTATTAACAGAAAGCCCTACGAAGACAAATAGCTGGGACATGAGGATGGAATCAAGGAATCGACCCTGCAGGAAGCAAGGTTCTCGCTTTATTGGTCAGTCCAAGTTAATGGGCTTTCCTCATAAATTTAATCAATTTTAAATGAAGTGATTAGAGGCTACCTCAAACAAAAACCACACATTACAAAATAGTTTACTTACTTTTTTCGTCTGGGCTTTGGGGGAAATGTTCCTTTGCTGGCAGCATATTCCTCTACGAGAAACCCCAGTTCCACTCCAAAAGGAGACAAACCTCGTACCTAATATGAAAATAGCAAGAACTGAACATTTTCAGAAATTAGTAAACAAGAGCAACATTTTCTTTACAAGCTATGACTAAACTATAAAATTTTCCCGTTAACCCTGAATGATTTTATATACTTTATTTTTGTGTGGGGGAAGCCCTGTTAGCTTCCTGAAGCCTATATCACAGATAACTTTCCAATACTTTGCCACGTTGGTCCTAGGTGGGGTGTAGTCGTGCTGGAGACCTGGGGCCAGATTCTCGAAGCAGTTACGCAAGCACTTACAAACCTGTACATCCTTTCTCAATCTTTGGCGGCATTGTTTACAATTATTAAACAGTTAATGAGCTCTAAAGCACCAGGAGGCTGTATATAACAATAGCAACAGTTGATTGGCAAGTTTTCATGTTTGTAAACTGTTTAATATATGTAATCAAAGCCGTCAAAGATTGAGGAAAGATGTACATGTTCATAAGTACTCGCGTAACTGCTTCGTGAATCTGGGTCCCAGGTACTGTAAATAAATTTTTTCTTCCCCTCAGATCATGGTTGACCCTTCAGTATCTGATATTTTTTCTTAAGGCATTGTTTTGGTTGGCTTTTCTCCAGTTATTGGGTTGAGGAGTTTCATTATCTCAGGAAGCAAAGGTTCTGCCTCCATCTCTATCTTTCCTGACAAAGAATGAAACTGCTGGCTTCCAGAGGGGGTCCCTTGGCAATTGATGCTTGGTTTGTCCATCTGGAGGGTGAATCATCCGCTTTGTCCGGAAGCAGAAGTTTGTCGCTAACCGTGTGCCACCAGTTCTGCTTAGGTGGACGTGCGGTTTGTTGATCAGATTTCCTTAGTTCCCTGTTCCAAGGCACGTTTGTTCCAGGTCATTCACCGTGTCTTTAAAGTCAACTAGCCTGAAATCTAACCTCGGGGTCCACAATGTTCGTGAGATCGTGGCGTTGATCAAATTTTTCACCAATATGTTTTGGGCCAATATTCTGGCTTGGGGGTTTTGGAGATCTAACGGGGTCTTGGCAGCAAGTATTTGGTTAATATTCCTGGTCCCATTACGACTGGTCTTGCCCTGGGCCACATTTCCCGGCCTGGTGATTTTTTTCGGTTATAGCTGCCGCCTCTCCTCCCTAACAAGTGACGTTTTTTCTTTTTCTCTGTCAGCTTCAGGGAGTCATCAAGGGGCTTCCCCCCAGAAAATTAGTGCCGACTGTAATGAAACGTTCTGGTTTAGCCCCAGGGGCACTAACTCCCTGCCTCCTCCCAACCAGGGGCACTAACTCCCTGCCTCCTCCCAACCAGGGATGTCTGTTTGTGGCCTATCAACAGCGGACCAAGTGTGGGATGCCACCAGCTGGAATCAATTCACATGCATGCTGGAGGTGTTTCGTATCTAGCTTCGATAGAACTACAGTGGTGCCTCGGTTAACGAATTAAATGCGTTCCGGCACCGAGCTCATCATATGACATGCTCGTCTTGCGAAACATCATCATCTTTCAAATCCAGGGATCCCATCACGATGGTTGTACTCTTCAAGTCATTGGCGTTGTCCCATCTTGAGTACTGCTCAGTACTCACTTCCCCCTTCAGAGCAGGAGAGATTGCTGAAATAGAGTGAATACAGAGAACATATGCGGCACGCATAGACGAGATAAAGCACCTAAATTATTGGGATCGTCTCAAAGCTCTCCAAATGTACTCACTAGAAAGGAGACGAGAGAGATACCAAATAATATACACATGGAAAATACTGGAAGGCCAGGTCCCTAATCAACACAGTAAAATAACAATGTACTGGAGTGAACAATATGGAAGAAAATGCAGAATAGAACCAGTGAAGACCAGAGGTGCCATAGGCACAATCAGAGAACACTATAAACATCAGAGGTCCGCGGCTGTTCAACGTCCTCCCAGCGACTATAAGAAATATTGCCGGAACAACCGTGGACATCTTCAAGAGAAAAACTAGACTTTTCTAAAAGACATTCCGGACCAACTGGGCTGTGGTGGGTATGTGGGCCTGCGGGTCGCTCCAAGCAACAGCGTGGTGGACCAAACTCTCACAAGTCAAGCCTGGCCTCGGGCCGGGCTTGGGGAGTAGAAGAACTCCCAGAACCCCATCATCCAGGTATCAGAGAACCAGTGGGAATGCTAGGAAACACCATGTGGTTCTCGCGTTAATCGAGCGGAAGCTCATCAATCGAGACAAATTTTCTGCGAGTGGCTCACTCGTTACCTGAAATGCCCGTAGATGGGGCTGCTCGTCACCTAAGGTTCCTCTGCATGTCGTTTCAAGCAATTCCATTGTGGTGTCTGTTGGCTGTTTTGGTGCTTTGTTTTCTTGAACTATGCAGTTAATTGTCTTGTCTACTTTCTGGATGCTTTCCCAGGTAAGGGTGATTGTAACAATCACCTAGTCCCTCTGCCTCTCCAAGTGTACCAGGGGCCAGAGTAACGAAGCAGTTACGCAAGCACTTACGAACGTGTACATCTTTCCTCAATCTCTGACGGAGTCGGTTACTTTTATTAAACAGTTTACAAGCATGAAAATTTCCCAATCAACTGTTGCTATTGTTATAAACAGCCTCCTGGTGCTTCCGAGCTCATTAACTGTTTAATAATTGTAAACAAAGCTACCAAAGATTGAGAAAAAGATGTACCGGTTCGTAAGTGCTTGCATAAATGCTTCGTGAATCTGGCCCCAGGTTCTATTCATGGCTCCAGTAGGCCAAGAGGATGTGTTTCAATGATGTGGCCAAGTATTGGAAGGCTATCTCAGCAATATAGCTTCAGGGAGCCACCGAGGCTCACCCAGGAAGGGGCATTTCAATACCTTCAACACTGGTTTTTGTATTTTGTCATAACTCATTAAAAGTTAACATTTCAGCTGTACAATTTTGACCAGCAAGTAATATCCTTTGAGATGCAAAATCAAAAACCTATTAATGAATCCTAACACTAACTACACCTCAAAGATATTAATGTTTTTTTCACCATGTAGAAAACTTTTATTCTAATGAGTAAAACATGAATTTATAACATACAGTAATTGCAATTATCATCCATCTGCATGAAAGTGTCTGCTTGATACCTGCTTGATGGGGTTCTGGGAGTTCTTCTACTCCCCAAGGCTATCTCAGTGTCTTATGTCTATCTTACCTTTTCCTGCACCAGGGACACATAGGGTAGTATGAAGACTGCGTCACGCTGTTTAAGCAGCAGCTCACGAAGCATAAGCACTTCCGCAACCAGAGTCTTGCCGCCACTAGTTGGCAACGAAATGAGGAGGTTTTTAGACCCGCTGCCTTCGTTAATGCACTCTTTTTGCCAATCTGTAATTACACAATGTTTCAGAGTTACTTTTCCTGGGAAACCAGGGTAAAATTTCTGGTTGACCAGTCCAGCAACCAGGAGGCCTGGAAAAGTGGAAAAAATTACTCAATGGGCTAGGAAGAAATAAATCAATTGGACCAGATGGAGTTTCACCTTGGGTGCTGCAAGAATGTGCAACTGAGCTGAGCATTCCACTTCAATTGATATTCCAAAAACTTTGTGCACAAGAAGAGCCAGTCGCCTGGTGGACCAAACTCTCACAAGTCGAGCCTGGCCTCGGGCCGGGCTTGGGGAGTAGACGAACTCCCAGAACCCCATCAACCAGGTATCAACCAGGTATCAACCAGTCGGCCGAGCGGACTGCACGCTGGACTGTGATCCTGTGGTCCCGGGTTCGATCCCGGGCGCCGGCGAGAAACAATGGGCAGAGTTTCTTTCACCCTATGCCCCTGTTACCTAGCAGTAAAATAGGTACCTGAGTGTTAGTCAGCTGTCATGGGCTGCTTCCTGGGGGTGGAGGTCTGGTCTAGGACCGGGCCGCGGGGACACTAAAAAGCCCCGAAATCATCTCAAGATAACCTCAAGAAGAATCTTCGCAGATATGTGGAAAAAGCCAAGCATAGTTCCAATCTACAAAAATGGTAGCTGGGAAGAACATCTAAATTATGGACCCGTATCACCAACAAGTGTGCTAGTCAAAACACTAAAAAAAAAGTTAAAACCAAATGGGTTGAACAACTGGAGAGTTATGACATAATAACGAACAGATAGTATGGTTTTCAAACAGGAAGATCATGTGTAACAATTCAACTTTTTACGATAGAGCCACACAGATTCTACAGGAAAACGGTAGTCAAGTTGACTGTCTCTGAACCTAAAACTAAATTATTTTGACAGTCTCACACAAGCGGTAGTCTTGGAAACTGGAACATGCTGGAGGGATGATGGGGGGAAGACTTCTGACATGGATGAAAAATTTTCTGATGGACACATGAAAGTGCTAATCAAAGGTAATGTATGTGACTGGAGGCGTATTATTAGCGGAATACCACAGGATTCAGTTCTTGCACCGATAATGTTCATCGTCTACTTAAACAATCTACCAGAAGGAATACAGATTTTTTCTGTATGAAATATGAACATGTTTGAGGATTATACTAAGATACTGGGGAAGATAGGAGATGCAGATGATTGTCATGTCCTTGTTGATACCTGGTTGATGGGGTTCTGGGAGTTCTTCTACTCCCCAAGCCCAGCCCGAGGCCAGGCCAGGCTTGTCCTTCAAATTCAAATTTATCTAGATTAAATAAGTGCTTTAAGCACACTGTGGCAAATGGAATTCAATGTGAATAAACGCCATGTTATGGAATTGGAAAAAACAGAGAACCACAACTTGCAAATTATGTAGAAAGGAATTAAAGAAGTCTAACAAAGAATGAGAACTAAGAATGGCTTTGGGTAGTAGACTGTCATCCGAGGAATACAAAGAGCAGTGTGCAAGGAACATATCTCTCAAACTTCAGAATCTCTTAATTACAATATATGGATGGTGAAATGCTAAAGAAAGAAACTGTTCATGACTTTTGTAAGACTAAAATTGGAATATGCAGCAGGTATATTTTGAGGTTATCTTGAGATGATTTCGGGGCTTTAGTGTCCCCGCGGCCCGGTCCTCGACCAGGCCTCCACCCCCAGGAAGCAGCCCGTGACAGCTGACTAACACCCAGGTACCTATTTACTGCTAGGTGACAGGGGCATTCAGGGTGAAAGAAACTTTGCCCATTTGTTTCTGCCTCGTGCGGGAATCGAACCCGCGCCACAGAATTACGAGTCCTGCGCGCTATCCACCAGGCTACGAGGCCCCAGCATATGGTGCAGAAATCTCCAGATCCCATCAATAAACTGGAAAAGGTGCAAAGGCATGCTACAAAATGGCCTCCAGAACTGAAAAACAAGAATTACAAATAGAGGAGTTAAATATGCCAAAAGTTAGAAGATAGAAGAAAAAGAGGTGATATGATCACCACTTACAAAATAATAAGAATCGACCAAATTGACAAAGAGGCATTCCTGAAACCAGCAACTTCACGAACAAGAGGACACAGATTCAAACTAAGGTGCCAAAAAAAATATTAGAAAGTTTCTTTTGCAAACAGACTGGTGAACGGTTGGACCAAGTTAAGTGAGAAAGTTGGGAAGCCAAAAACGTCAGCAGTTTCAAAGCATTATATGACAGATTGCTATATCTTGAGATCTTGAGGTTATCTCGAGATGATTTTGGGGCTTAGCGTCCCCGCGGCCCGGTCCTCGACCAGGCCTCCTTTTTTGTTACACCCCCCCAGGAAGCAGCCCATAGCAGCTGTCTAACTCCCAGGTACCTATTTACTGCTAGGAGAACAAGAGCATCATGGTGAAAGAAACTCTGCCCATTTGTTTCAACCTCCACCGGAGATCAAACCCAGAACCTTAGGACTACAAATCCCGAGCGCTGTCCACTCAGCCGTCAGGCCACTACAGCCGTGCTCTACTGGGAAAATGGGACACCACAAGTGTAACTCTCATCCTTTAACTACACTTGGGTAATTACACACACACTCGCACATCCCCCTGATCAACTGGGCTATAATTTATAAGAGCTTATAAATAATCTGGGGGACTGACGGCTTTCTCTGACCCCGACATGCTTGAAACCGCAAACAATGTTTATTTTTCATTATCTTCCACATACATAAAATACTCCCTAACATCTTCCACATACATACAACACTAATATAGTTAAAGAATCCAACGTTTATTTTAAGTTTTATGCTAAGCATCAAGCGATAGTTTAGTATTTTACATTAGTATCCAAAAAAATAGTACCGGTGATTGTACCCAAACTGTAAAAACTCACCATACAGTTCCGATATGCCACGGTGTATCTTGAGGACCTCTGCTACCTTAGAAGGCAAGCCAAAAAATGGCCCAAGCTCGAAGTCTTCTCCCGAGATGCGTGTTCTGGCAGCTTCCTCAAGGGCTGCAGCCACGGCTTCGGCTCGACGCTCGTGTTCCGACTTCAAGGGAGCTGCAGCAGGCCCTGTATTAGAAGGAAAATGTTGATCAAAAAGCACCAGGTATGAAAATGAAAGTTATGGTTAGAAAACAGTAAGAGAGGATTAGGTGCAGGCTGAGGTCTACACGAGAGGAGGTGCTAACTTTTACGCATGATCAAGAGACAAAGAACGATAATTCATTATCAACAAATGATAATTCATTTGACAATTTGTATGAATGAATGAATGAATTTGTAGGTACGTTGCATGAATGTCATACAACGAGCAGTATGAATGACGACAAATGAAAAGTTGGAGCAGTAGAAATGAACAATCTGAGAAGGATTTGTGGTACAAGGCGAGTGGATACAGTAAGGAATGGAAATAATATGGAGAGAAACTGCCTGATTAAGTACTGTTTCTATTTTTTTCAGGAACATTCCTGCATGGGCCCGAAGCATCTGGCTGGCCCGCCTATGTGATGCTAACAAAGGCAGTCGATGATAGCTTATGGCCAGGTTGGCTAGAGAAGTAAATGTGGAATTGTAGAGCACGAAGAGCACGATACAATTTGTTAATACAGTACGAACACGTTATTAAAACACATCAAATTTATTTAACAAAAATAGTGTACATATCTCGAGGTTATCTTGAGATGATTTCGGGGCTTTAGTGTCCCCGCGGCCCGGTCCTCGACCAGGCCTCCACCCCCAGGAAGCAGCCCGTGACAGCTGACTTAACTCCCAGGTACCTATTTACTGCTAGGTAACAGGGGCATTCAGGGTGAAAGAAACTTTGCCCATTTGTTTCTGCCTCGTGCGGGAATCGAACCCGCGCCACAGAATTACGAGTCCTGCGCGCTATCCACCAGGCTACGAGGGTGAAATAAGGAAATCATATGGAGACAATAATCAGTATCTTGGTATGCAAGACTGGAACACGACATGAAATCGTTGGGAAAGAAGTAGACGCTTGAAAGAGTAAAAAGTTTGTACAGTGCCGGAATTTCCCAACAAAACTTTTCCTGTAGCCACCCTGGCCGAGCCGGTCGGCCGAGCGGACAGCACACTGGACTTGTGATCCAGTGCTCCCGGGTTCGATCCCGGGCGCCGGAGAGAAACAATGGGCAGAGTTTCTTTCACCCTATGCCCCTGTTACCAAGCAGTAAAATAGGTACCTGGGTGTTAGTCAGCTGTCACGGGCTGCTTCCTGGGGGTGGAGGCCTGGTCGAGGACAGGGCCGTGGGGACACTAAAGCCCCGAAATCATCTCAAGATAACCCCTATATAATGTGTTACCAAAAGAGCAAGACAAAGAAGCTATACTGTATTTAGATAATAATGTACATAGCTCATGCAGTCTCGCACACTATATCTGAACCATCATAAAAGATACGAGTCCTGTGGCTCATCATATTTTTGTATATACAGATTTGCAGAGCTATGTAGTTACTAGCTGAACACATAATTGAAGTGTAGAAAAAACATCATCGAATGTAATGAAATGCCACTTTCCAAGTGAGCCCCGGTGGCTCCCTGTAGCTATCTAGCCGAGATGGCTCCCTACTATTGTACGAGCTCTGTTATCTGAAGCCCACTGAACTTGAGGTTATCTTGAGGTTATCTTGAGATGATTTCGGGGCTTTTTAGTGTCCCCGCGGCCCGGTCCTCGACCAGGCCTCCACCCCCAGGAAGCAGCCCGTGACAGCTGACTAACACCCAGGTACCTATTTTACTGCTAGATAACAGGGGCATAAGGTGAAAGAAACTCTGCCCATTGTTTCTCGCCAGCGCCTGGAATCGAACCCAGGACCACAGGATCACAAGTCCAGCGTGCTGTCCGCTCGGCCGACCGGCTCCCTCCCGGGAGCCTCCCGGGAGCCGGAACTGAATATTTGCTTTGTCTGGACAAAATCGCATCCAGATAATTTTACTGCCTGTCCACACATACAAAGATCCAGGCTCATTAATCCAGTTGCCAAACCCCCCCAGCTGTTAATGAATGAAAAACAGTTTACACACGACTCACAATTGATGATGTCTGAACACTTTCTCTGTTCGAACCACAATTCTATAAATGCTTCACCCACGTACTTCAAATACAAATAATCGCCAACAGAATCTAAACACCTAACCTAACCTACCTATACATAGAATTTTTTATATATAATATTAATTTATATATGAGAACAAACCAATTTTTAAATTGGTTATAAAAATTATAAAAAAAATACGAGACCAAACAAAACCCGCCTGAACCAACAAGCTGGAAGGGTGGGCATCGGCGAGCCACAGGGGCATCGGCGAGCCACAGGGGCATCGGCGAGCCACAGGGGCATCGGCCAGCCACAGGGGCATCGGCCAGCCACAGGGGCATCGGCGAGCCACAGGGGCATCGGCGAGTTACATCTGATAACCTTCACTTTGTTGACCAATCCACTCACTAGAAAATGAAGGGACGACGACGTTTCAGCCTGTCCTGGACCATTCTCAAGTCGAATCGTCTTGAGAATGGTCCAGAACGGATTGAAATATCGTCGTCTCGTCTTCTGGCACATGGTTTAGTTCTCTGGTTTATCGATTGCGAGCCGAAGGAGTAGACAGTTGTGCTGCAGGACCCTAATGTACATTATACACACAAATCACAATTGCGTGATGCATCAAATGAACAAATCCACAAGGGTCGTGACGAGGATTCGAATCTGCATCCGAGAGCATCCCAGACGCTGCCTTAGCTCAGCCGATTACGGCAGCGTCTGGGATGCTCTCGGACACAGGTTCGAATCCTCGTCACGGCCCTTGTGGATTTGTTCCCTAATGTACATATTAGAACAATCTCAGAAAATATCTCCCTTCCTATAAACTGATAATAACAGCTACTCACCTGATGGTTGCAATGTAGCCAATTTTTTCAATTTGTCTTGGAATCGACCAATCAGTGGCTGGGACTCGAGCGTGCTGGAGAAGCTCAGCTCCGACTCTTGAGACTTGTACTGAGAACCCTCGTAATGCGCGGCACGTACTGGCGAATCTTTAGACCCAGCAACAACACTACACTTCGTCTCGCTTTTGGAAACCTCGTTAGAACACTTCTCGATGTATCCTTCCTCAATGAGGCATAATTCGGCATCGAAGGAATCCGAAAGTCTGCCGTTAGACGAACCAAGAACATCATCGTCAAAAATATCTGGAGAAGCTCTGCCAGAGAATATTGGCGGGTTCGTGGCCAGCTCTTTTGGTTCGGTACTACTAGCCGAGCTACTATTGGATGCCAGAGTGTTTATTGCAGTGCTACTGTTGTTACTACTAGAAGTACTCTCTGGGCAAACACTGTCTTCACTAGAAAAAGTTTTAATCAGACTTTTTGATACACCATAATTATAGCCTCTCCTGCCTCCATGTTTGTTGTCTACGTTCATTTGATTTTCCTCTTTATTAACAACTTTTTTCCGCACGTCGATCGTCTTCACCGTTTTGCGTAGATTAAAACCAAGAGGACCCGTAATTTTGCCCGATAATGGCGTCATCTTGGTTCTTGATATTTTCCTCTTTGGAGTGGATTCCACTGATGCACAAATAGTGTCAATTTTTTCAAAATCGACATTTTCCAATAAAGAGTCGTCAAGGTTCATAAACGAAGTAGATGGACTCTCTGGTGGTGCAACACGAGTGACTTCTTTGCAAGACAGCGTAACGACACCTTCAGGTGGTTGGCATTTATCTACCTGGAGCTTCTTCCATGGTGGGGAAGCGGCAATTACAGATCTTGACAAAGATTTACAACTTCTCTGACTCTTCAGGACGGGTGAAGTTTGCCTAACTTTTCCATTACTATTTCCAAATTCATAATTTTTCCATTCTACATGCAACTGTACAGAATTAGAATGCTTGCAAGATTTGCAGTCGCTGGGCAATTCTATCACCTTATTCCGACGGGAACGACTCCTGAGTACCGGCGACGTACGAGGATCGTCGCCACTGGACTCTTCAACGTTTCGAACTTTGGAGTCATGATTTATTTGTCTCGTTTCTATTGTCTGTGATGTTATTGTGACGGTAGCAGCTCGAGCTCCCGTATTATTAGCAAGGTGGATTTTATCACCAAAGTAATGGCTTCGGGGGCAATCGTTAACATTACGTTTCTTGTTATCTACCCTGTAGAAATTCTGCATAATGTTCGTCAGCATAAGATTTAAACTGATGTATCATCTCGTACCGATTCCTGTAATGAAAATTAACGAAACATTGAGTCAGCTGAAATGTAATCTAAAACATTAGTGAAAGTTGATGCAATGGTTGACAAGCACTGTACAGTATAATCCTCAAACTACAAATAAACAAAAATCAGGGAAATGGTGAGATTTATAATTTTTCGGATACTGAATGGCAAGTTAAACCGAGGCTAAGACTTTAAACTATTTTTTTTACGTACAATAATCAAATGTTTCAAACAAATCAGAAAACTGTTCAAGAGTTAGTGTAAATTAGGGTAGTAATATATAAATAATAGTGTGGAAGGGAACCACATTCAAAGTGCCCGCCAAAGGAGACATTTCATAGTGTAGGCAGAACTGTGCCCTGATTGGTGGACGGCGACCGTGCACAGCCTCCCCGCGCAGGTCGAGAGAGAGAGAGTACAGATATGAACTGCACGTGACCCAATGCAGACGACGCCCACCTGCAGTGCTACTACGATTCCTAATGAGGCTTTGACTCCCTCTATCCTATACCCTTCCTGAGAAGTCTAGACTTGCTTCACCTGCCCTCCCAGACCTACCTTCCCCGACGACTACAGCTCAAGGTGAAATATTACTGTACTGTTGTTGTACCACGTGGGGCCACCTCCACAGTAATTACCGCCCTAGTCCTCTTGTGCAGTTGGCTTGGGTCTTGACTCGCAATCGGGAATCCCTGAGGGTAGGATAGAAACTGCTTGAGACATGTTTTTTTTCCACCTAATACACCTGTTCACCTAGCAGTAAATGGGTCTTATGTAGTAAACTATGGTCGAACTGCACCCATGGGGCAAGGTCGACTTAGGAGGAGGAGGACCTCTAAAAACGCTTATATATGTCTACAGGCTTCCTGCCCCTCACAAAAACTAACTATTATGTCCCCCTGAGGCCCACACCCCGCGGCCATACCCATACCCTGGGGCCCATACCCACCCGCCAATACCCCAAGGCCGGGTAAACTGGTAAACAAGGTGCAAAATACGTCACCTCGATACACGCTTATATCTATGTCCCCAGGCTTCCTGTCCCTAACAAGAACTAACTATTATGTCCCCTGGGGTCCATACCCATACCCCGATACCCCAAGGCCGGGTAAACAGGGAAAGAAGGTGCAAAATACGCCACCTCGAGGGTACACCGGATGCCGCCAAACGAACACAAACACAACTGACTTCAAACTCCCATCTCGGCTCACGAACACGCGGCTCGAGTCGGATTCAAGATGGCGGCGTTCGTGTGGGCCCCGGTCGTTCCTATATATTTATTTATTTATTTATTTATTTATTTATTTATTTATTTATTTATTTATTTATTTATATACAAGAAGGTACATTTTTATTTATTTATTTATTTATTTATGCATATACAAGAATGTACATAAGGAATGTGAGGATACAATTATGGTAATTACAGTCTTGTAAAGCCACTAGCACGCGCAGCGTTTCGGGCAGGTCCTTAATCTAAGAAAATTTTAAGGAGGTAAATACTTGCAAAATTTATAGACAAAAAAATGATAACAGATTACATGGAATGAAAAAAAAAAGATGAGAGAAAATTATAGGTACAGTATATTAAAGCACATAGATAGCTATGATTGATTGCAATGACAGCTTAAAATGGTAGTTGACAACAAATTGGTAGGCACAATACAGCAGAAACAATATAAGATTGATTGCAATGACAGCTTGAATGGTAGTTGACAAAAATTGGTAGTCACAATACAGCATATGGCTAGCACATAAAAGAAGACAGCAATGAACACAATGATAAGGTTGTTTGATATTACATAAAAATTAGGAGATTGGGTACCACTAGGTACAGAGCAAATTTAAAGCTCAGTGTAGGAAACTAAATAGATGAAGTTAGGTACTTTTTGGTTTTGCTTTTAAATAAGGCAAGAGTTTTACAGTTTTTCAATTCACTAGGGAGTGAGTTCCATAGACTAGGTCCCTTAATTTGCATAGAGTGTTTACACAGATTAAGTTTGACCCTGGGGATATCAAAGAGATATTTATTTCTGGTGTGGTGATAATGGGTCCTATTACATCTGTCCAGGGAGAGTTTCAGAGCATGGTTTGCATTTAAGAACAGGGTTTTGTAAATGTAGTTGACACAAGAGAATGTGTGGAGGGAGTTAATATTTAGCAAGTTTAGAGATTTAAACAAGGGAGCTGAGTGTTGTCTGAAAGCAGAGTTAGTTATTATTCTGATAGCAGATTTTTGCTGTGTGATGATGGGCTTAAAGTGGTTTGCAGTGGTAGACCCCCATGCACAGATACCATAATTAAGATAGGGGTAGATTAGTGCATAATATAGTGAGAGGAGAGCAGAGTTAGGAACATAATATCTGATTTTGGAGAGTATACCAACTGTCTTAGAGACTTTCTTAGTTATGTGTTGAATGTAGGTGCTGAAGTTGAGTCTCTTGTCTAGGAATAGGCCAAGAAACTTGCCATCATTTTTATTACTGATGTTAATGTTGTCTATCTGTAGCTGAATTGCATTTGATGATTTGCTTCCAAATAAGATGTAGTAAGTCTTTTCGATGTTTAATGTTAGTTTGTTCGTTGACATCCATAAGTGGACTTTTTTTAATTCATTATTCACAACATTATTTAGTGTATGTGGGTTGAGGTTTGAGTAGATAAGGGTAGTATCGTCAGCAAACAATATAGGTTTGAAAATATTAGAGACATTAGGCAGATCGTTTATATATATAAGAAATAGAAGAGGTCCTAAGATGCTGCCCTGTGGCACTCCAACGGTAATTGGTAGAGTGGAAGAAGTTGTATCATTGATGGTTACATATTGGTGTCTGTCACTAAGATAGGATCGGATGTAGTCAAGGGCAAGGCCTCGGATTCCATAATGCTGGAGTTTAAGTAAGAGGTAGTTGTGATTAACAGTATCAAAGGCTTTTCTTAGGTCAATGAAGAGTCCAATCGGAAACTCATTTTTGTCAAGGGCTGAGTAGATAATGTCAAGGAGACTAATGATTGCATCATTGGTACTCTTTTGGGACCGGAAGCCAAACTGGCAGGGGCTGAGTATGTCGAATTTTACGAGGTAGGAATAGAGCTGTTTGTAAATAATTTTTTTCAAATATTTTTGATAGAATGGGTAGATTTGATATTGGTCTATAATTGTTTATGTCCGCCGGATTGCCTCCTTTATGGACTGGCGTTACTCTTGCTTTTTTGAGGATATCAGGGAAGGTGTGACACTCTATAGATTTGTTGAACAGTAGTGCTATGGGTGGGGCAAGGGCATGGGAGGCTCTCTTGTACACAATGGACGGAATTTCACTGGTGTTCCCTGCCTTGGTTTTTAGAGAGTGTATGATGGACACAACATCTGCCGGGCTGATTGGTGAAAGGAGAAGAGAGTTTGGATAGCTGCCTGAGAGATATGTGTTAATATGTGTCTGAGTCTGTGGGATTTTACTGGCAAGATTAGCACCAACCGATGAAAAGAAACTATTAAATTCATTTGCCATTTCTAAATCAGTTGACGGTATATCCCCATCCTTGTAGAGTTTTATTTGGTTATGTGAGTGTTGTTTAGTTCCTAGGATACTAGAGATAGTTTTCCAAGTGTTTTTCATGTTGCCTTTTGCTTCATTGAATCTATTCACATAATATGCAAGTTTTGCCTTTCTTATGATAATGGTAAGCATTGATGAGTACCTTTTAGCTACTTCCTTTGAAACTAGGCCAATCCTAACTTTCTTTTCATATTCATGTTTCTTGTTGATTGAGTTGAGAATGCCACTTGTGAGCCATGGATTGTTTAATCTTTTGTCAGTTACTTGCTTTGTAAGAAGGGGACAATGAAGGTTGTAGAGGCTTAGAGTTTTGGAGAGGAAGAGGTTAGCTAATGAATTTATATCATGGGTATTATTGAATTCAGAATCCCAGTTAATATTGTGAAGTGCCTCTGTAAGATTGCCTAAAGCTGATTCACTGTGTAGCCTAAATGAAAGTTTCTTGCATTTTGGTGGTGTTATGTCCATGTTCGCTATGAGAAAGGTAGGATAGTGGTCAGTTGTTCTGTCGTAGATTATACCAGATACAAGGGGAGCTGTTATGTTTGTCCATATGTGGTCCAAGGTAGTGGCTGATGTTTGAGTGACTCGGGTAGGTTTGGTGATTGTGGGGATTAGCATACAGGAGTTCATGCTGTTAAGGAAATAGTCAACTTGAGAGCAATTTTGTTGACCCAGGTCAATATTAAAGTCTCCTCCCAGAATGATGTGGTTTTTGTTGAGATTGTTGTTTATAATAAGATTCCTTAGGTTGTCCGAGAAAGAAGCTATGTTAGTATTGGGAAATCTATAGATGGCTCCAATAGTCAAAGAGGATTTAAGGGATTTAATTGTAAACTGAGCAAAAGTATATTCACAGTAGTCATCTCTGTCACTAATAACACTGTTGCAGATAAATGTATCTCGGTAATATATAGCTGTGCCACCACCTTTTTTATTAGGCCTACAGTTATGAATGGCTTTATAACCAGCTAAGTTGTAGAGTTGGGTATAGTCTTTATTTAGCCAAGTTTCTGTTAAAATAATGAACGATAGGTTAGTACCTTGTGCTGTGAGTAATGCATTTAAATCGTCAAAATGTTTACCAAGTGATCTAACATTTTGGTTATAAACTGATAGACAGGTGCTATTTTGGAGTTTGTTTTTAGCCTGGTGTGCTGTGAAATACTTGCAATAATGATGATCAATGTGCTGGTTGGTGTAGATATGAGACAGAAGATTTTGATCAGGATCAATATCAGTGTGCATAGAGATGCAGAGGGATCACGATACAAGATACACGATAAAGCAAAACACAAGAATAAAAGCAAATACAATAAAATAGTAACAATTTAGAAGTAAAATAAAGATCCAATAGATAGCCAGGGAGGACACAGAAGTTACATAAAATAAAACACAAAAAATCAGTAGAGACTGACAATATAAATGTAAAATAAAAAATAATAAGAAAAATAATAATCATAAAAAAATGATCTTGAAGATAATTAGCTTAGTAATGGTTAATTAACAGGGTAATAAAAAGCCCTAGGTTTAGTGACAAGGGGATTAAATAAGAACAAATAATTAAGAGTATAAAACAGGCAAAGATGACAAACAAAAAATAAAGTAAAAATTAAAATAAAAATAAAAATAAACACCTTTGGAAAGGAAAGGCAGAGCTTAAGTACACTTTGGTTGTATGTGAGACTACAAATTATGTTCTGGTTATTCAGCTGATATCCCACAGTCATCCAGGAAAGAAGTGAGGTGTCCTTCAGTGGTTATGACATAAGTTTTTCCAGAGTCAGTCTTCCTAGCTATTATTTTACCATCGCGCACAAAACAATGTTTAATAGCAGTGGATCTATTGCGAATTCCACGTAGTTTAAATAAGAGATTTTGTCTGAATCTGGTAAGACATTCGTTCACATAAACCTTGGATTTCCTAGCGACTGCAGCAGTGATAAGGTCTGACTTGCGGGAGCAGCTATCTAACTTCACGCGTATCCTTCTGTTGTTTGCACCAGATGATTTGGTTTGTGAGAATACATAGCATAGTATTTACAATCTTGTAAAGCCACTAGTACGCGCAGCGTTTCTTTTAATACTTTAATTTCTAAAAATATTCTTTTAACATAGGCGTTCTTACATAGTTTTATGTAAGAAGATACTTATTTATTTATTTATTTACATATATATATTTATTTATTATTGTATACATGAGTTCTTTCAGGGTTATAAAGCCACTAGCATGCACAGCGTTTTGGGGCCCTTAATCACCTTAAGGTCCTTCAGGACTTATTTAATAAAATAAATAATAATAAATGTTTATTTAGGTAAGGTACATACATACAAGAGATTTTACAAAGATTGATGGACTTATAGATAGAGCTAGTACATACAATGCCTAAAGCCACTATTACGCAAAGCGTTTCGGGCATGAAAATCTTAAATGATTAAAGCTTAATACTAATTGCGTATAAAGAATAAAATGTGTTGAAAACAAATAAAAATAAAGATAAAAAAGGGGGGAACATGGCTCAAAAAGCAGCACAAATACAATTCAAGTTCAAGTTCAAGTATGTTTATTGAGATAAGAAAGAAATACATCTCAAAGGGATAGAGTAGCTTAGGCTATTTCTACCCCCCTCTACTTCAAGT